AGCAGCTTTTGAAGATAGCTCCAACGAGGTGGCAGAGAAGAGTGTCCCAGAAAAGGTTAATGTAGAAGAAGATTCTACAAGCGAAGAAGAGGAGGACCCAGAAGCTGAAGAACCCTTTGAAGATGAAGACAGTGATGCTACGGAACCGGAAGAGGACAGTGATGTAGCTGAAGGTAATTATCGCCTTTTAATTTCGTTGGTTCTTTAGCAGTTTTATATAACGAAATACTACGTAATTGTTATGAAAGGCTCTGAAGAAACACTAAATTCAATATGTAATGGAAAGAGCCTTCTTCCATTCGTTAAATGTGTTTAATTGGTCTCTTTTAGACAATTCTGAACTGACAGCGAAGGACAGCACTGTATCAGATCCCCTTGCCTGGGGTTCACGCAGACGTTACAGGCGCAGAAGTAGCTTCCGCAGACGTTACAGGCGCAGAAGTAGCTTCCGCAGACGTTACAGGCGCAGATATAGCTTCCGCAGACGTTCTTGGCACAGACGCAGGCGACACGGGAAGTAAGCCAGGAACTGACTAAGAAACTTCTTGTACTTGCACGTTTTGTTTTCCATTTTTATGTTTACATATCAAAGCGGTTGATATAAATAAACCGAGAAAAATAATGGGCTGTTTTTTGTGTTGTTTTCTGAAAAGGACCGCCAACCTTTTGCCTCGAACATTTGGCTATGCGGTAGACGCTTACGCATTTAGGGATGAATTGCATCTACTCGTTAAATGAAAGAAAAGTTAAAGCAAAATACTATAAGATTGCTTCAAAGAAGGATTGAGATACCGGAATAGAAGGGAGCTTTGGCTCTCCCCAAAAAACTTAAATACTATAAGTAGAATCCTTTTTTGCTGTAAAATATGGCTGTTTTTGCACATTTTTATCAGGGCTGCCCGCCCCCAAACAAAAAGTTGCATCTCGGTCTATGGATGCAACAAAGAAAATTTATTTTTAATATCGGTCAATTTGGTAGTTCCTTACCACTGAAAAAGTTGAATTTCTTGGCGTAGACTTTAGTTAAAAGAAATTTGCGATTGAATAGAGTACATAAGACAAGATTTGAAATATAAATTTGAAAAGAGGACAAAGAGCTGAGTTAATTTTAATGATGACAATATTCTGAAATTGGGAAATTCTGTTCTTTGTAAATATTTAAAGAAGCGTCGAATTCTAAACACATTCTTTTCATTTAAGACATAAGCTCTACGAATATCATCTGTGCACAAATAAATAGAAGCTACAACCCAATCTATATGAAATAATGTTTAATGAAAAGCAAATATCGAATGTAATCCCTGGGCCAGTTTCGTCAGCAGTGTATGCGCTGTTTGAAATATTGCGTTTACTGTTTAATTTTTTGTTTACTGCGACCATTCAATATGATATGTGTTACATTAAGAAAAAGTTGAAACTTAATGCAGGTTTGTTGGTAATTGATTTTTTATGAGAATATGCAGCCAGTTTGTCACCATGGAACTATTCAGAACTAAGGAGTACTCAGGTCGAGTTTTGAACTTTTAGCCATAAGGGCCCCACAAGATACAAATTTCTTGATAGCAAAAGCCAAGAAGAATATTTTCCGTCATTTACAAGCCTTTATTTCCGCTGTACTTCAACCAATTTCTACTACTCAAGACTCGATTAAACGTTCCATTATTTAAATTTATCAACTTATTTCCTAATTTTCTAGAAACATGCTGTATGAGAATTTACTGCTAGAAAAACAGATTTTCTCAAAGTTTATTCGATACGGAAAGCTTGCTCCTGTCTTTTCCCGTAAATACTTATGTAACAATAACGGTGGTTTCTATTCAAGTTGCTTTAAATAAAGGGCTTATTAAACTTGTCAAGCTTCCTAAAACCAATTCACAACAAGCTTTTTCTTCGTTGCTTCATTTAATTTCGCCTGTTTTGAATTAGCGGCCATGCAAAAAGGATAGGAAAGCTGTAAAAAATATGAAAGCAAAATCATTGGTGTCAAAAACCCAGTTTAGGCCAAGTTTGAAAACGAGGGTCTCGATCACAACAATGCGCAGTTCTAAAACAAGGCTGCTGCTTTTTTTAAAAAAGTGGTACTTCTGTAACGATTTCGTTAAGTTCCTTTTGATCATTGACGTTTTTGCGAGCAAACTTTGAAACTGAACATAAATCGTAAACTATAAGTTACATAAAATCTTTCTTTTGAATGCTTCCATAAAATCTTGCATATTTTCTGTAACAACCAGAGCTCTGCAAAAAAAGCACACGAGTGTGACCTGACAACTACAGGTTGCATCTATTTACGCTGCTTCAATTTAAAAAAATAGTCTTTTTGTGACTTTATTAATGTTTTTATGGTGTCTAGAAGTAAGAAAATAAAGCTATTAAATAAAGATTTTATCAGATCTCATGATAAAGGTATCATGAGAAAACAACGAAAAGCAATGCATCACTTTTCACTTAGTATCTACACTCTCTCTTTTTATAAGAACCAGTAAATTTATGTTCAGGCTGACTGTTCTTAATTTTTTCAAAGATCTAAGGCTGGATTGTTCTCAATTTTTTCTTAAATTAAGAGGGCGTAAGCAGTGCTATTGCTAGCGTTTTCGCTCTAAAGAGGTGTTCAGGCCTCATTTGCCAACAAAGTGTGTGAGACAACCTTAATTTGCTGACAAATTTGAATATTCACCGAAAAAGCACCCACGCATCGCTAAAAATCCTCTATTTTGAGAAAAAGCGTTGTTCAAAATTGCATTTTGCAGAAGCTCAGCCTCAGCTTTGTTTTAATGTGTTCTTAACTTTTGACCAGTTTTAAGGCTCGTGTTCTTATAAAATTGTCATTATAAAAAAAGAGTGTATTACAAGTTTGGGCTAAAACTGGCTTGTTAGGGTAATGTATGCAACTGATGTGCCTGAAGTAGTTAAAATTGAGATAACAATCTTATCATGTTACTATGGGATAAATACTACTAGGCTTCTAGGTCTTTGTTGTAAAACAGTAGCACCGAAGTTAAGAAAAAATAACACTTCTTTAAAGGCAGCAATAAACGAATATCTCAGAAGCTTCAATTGCTGAATTAGCATTTAAGACAGATTTGAGGAAGAAGATTAACATTGACCAATTCACGAGAGAAAAGCATTCACTGTTTGCGTCATGAGATCAGAAATATCATCAGGTGGTGTATTAATATGCGCCGAAAACTGCAAGTGAAGCATTATAAGAGGAATTTTCAAAGGAGTGCAGAGGAATTTGGGAATGTTATCCTTTCGACAACTAAAAAGAAGTTTCCTTTATTTTTTGAATTTTCTTTAATAAGAGAAGGGGCTAAAACTAAATTTACTTTTTATATTTGATGTGTCAAGACGAAATGGCATTGAAATTGATTCTATTTTTACTATCTTGCTTCTGAAGATAGCTTTTAGAGCACCGTGAAGCTATGATTATGGTGCAGTGATCTGGTCCGTCATCTCGATGCGAAAGAATCTCATCCTACCTGTGCCTAGAATAACAGATTTCTGTCGACTCCCCCCGCTCTAAGAATCCGTTTACACTAGCACGGATTCAAATGGATCCGTACACAAATTAGAACAGATAGGCTTTTCGTTTACACTAGACCTGCCGGATCCGTAATCATTTGTGTCTGCTATCTGGACCCGTGTGGAATCGCTTTCCAAGGTGTACTCACTTGGATCCGTTCCCGTTTAGGTCTATTGTAAACGGCTGGAACCAAACCAAACCAAGCACACTTCGGATACGCGGCATTAAACTTTCTCTTTAAAAGGCCAATTGTTGTCGCAAAAACCTTGAATTCCATAAATCAGAGAGATGGATGAGCAACACAAACAGAAAGTTCTCCTTGTGTTTACAATGTCAGTTTCATGTTTTAATTTCTGGCTGCAGTATATTGCTTTTCTATGTGCTCAACACAGGATTCATCAGTTGAGACTAGCTTTGATTATATCTAAACAAAGCAACATGGGACTAGTCCTACATCATAAAATTCAAAAACAGCGATATCATCACCGCAAAACCAAGAAGATTCTCGCAACGACCAGAAAAAACTAGCGGAAATCTTTAAAACGAGAAAATCTTTGATTTTGATTCACCTGCAGCGTCTTTATCATTTTCTGATCTGATGTCATTTTCCATGACTTTCACTCACACACTATGTTGCAAAAATGGCCCGCCAAAACTGCTGAAATATTGAAGGGATCTCGTTCCCATTATCAATGGGAGGTCAAGTAGCCGCCCAGAAGGGGAACTTGGCACACAGACATACGGGGGTCAAATTTTTGCCAAAAGTGATATTTTTGGGTTAAATATTTGTCAGAAATGATATTTTCGGGTCCTGCGAAAATAGTAGATACAGTTCTGATATTTCTAGGTATCAAATTTAGAAACACTGATATTTTTAGGTATTCGTGAGATTTCCATATCCGAATCAAATGTATTGTTCATGGATCTAATTCGCTGAGGTTTATTTTACCCACTTCAAGTCACGTCGGGAGTCATGTTACCATATTCTTTGGAAAGTTTAATGCTACTTTTTGTACTCACTGTTAACTTTATATGGCACGAAATATGCTAGAGAAGTCAAACGATGTCTTACCAAGGCACTGAAAACATCAAGGACACCTGCAGCACTGGGGCAACAGGGGCAATCGCCCCCTGCCCTCTGCCAACAGATGCAGTGGGGGCAAGATGTGCCCTTCTAATTGAAGTTATTCTCAGTTTCAATTGTGATTGCAACTGCAACTATTTACGGTTTTTTTGAAATGCAGATCTTATAAACTACAGCTATGTCGTATTATCTCACCCAAAATTCCAATTTGTGATATTTTTGGATACAAGATATAAGTAAAACTGATATTTTTGGGTCTTATTGAAAATGTGCTGATATTTTTGGGTGGCCTTTAAATTTCTTGGACTTACCCCCCCTCCCGTATGTCTATGTGCAGAGTGCCCCCCCCCCTGGGAGTAGCCGAAACAGTGGACTGGATCCGTTCCAGTGTAAACACCAACAAAACTGGATCCGTACCCATTTGGATCCATGATAGTGTAAAAGGGGTCTAAGTGAAACTTTTGGCAGGAGCTCAAGCGCCAAAATGTCGAATCTGTAACTTGCCCCATTGAAAATAAGCAATCCTTGTAGTTAGATGATGGCTTCTTTGTTTTATATCACATGTCAAACTGTCACATGATCAATTCACGTCACGTGAATAATAATTTATTGAGCAGATGGTATTTTAGCATATTTTCACGATATAAGCAGATGAAAATATGAAATAGTTTTGGTTATTATCAATGTTTGCATTCACATCACACCCCCTATTACAACTAATTGGTGCTAAACGTGGGGCATTGAAGGAGAGAAAACAAGGGAAAATTCGATCAATGATTGGTGCATTGCTGCATGCTAATATTGTTTCTGGGGTACTGGTACAGAAACTTTTAATATTTCCTAAATATTCATTCATTGCAACGAAAAATACAACTTTAGTGTATAATGACCAATTTGGTATTTCCCGGTATCCATTTTTGAACATGCCTGTCATTTAAGGTTTCATTTGAAACAGTGAGTACCAAAATCAAATGTTCTCTATAAACACGATGCATGGCTTCTTCATATCGTGTCCAAAACGTAGAAACGACTGTTATTAAAAGCTGATTTTTTTGCAATAGCAATATCATTAAAACCGATTTAATATTTACAAAAAAGCAGAATGACTATCTCAAAATGTTCCCGCAACACAAATACAATTGATTTCGTTAATAAGAGTTCCTCTTCCCATCCTGATCATCTCCAGCAAAGCAATCTTCGTAAACATCCTCTGTGCTTCTTTGCTTGAAGTTCCTCAATGATGTTTTCTTTCTCCTCAACTCTTTCCATAAGCTCCTCGATGACTTCCATCAGTCCATTGTTGTCTTGATTCTTTCTCTCGAAGGCGCTTTTTAAACGTTGGCCATCTTTAGATAGAACTGTATTCGCCTCTTTTAAACTGGTACAGTTCTCTTCAAGCTGCTTTATTTGTGCCAAGAACAACATCTTCGCAGTTCTTCGGTCAGTTTGTTCCTCTAAGAACTTTTTGTGGGCCTCAGTATTTTCCTGGCGCATCACAAGTACTCTCTTCTTAAGCCGTGTGTTGTCTTCTTCAAGCAGTTCGTTCTGCTGTTCAACAATTTGATATTGATCAAAAAGCTTCTTATATTCCTCTACTCCCTGCTCCTCTTTGTGTTGTTGAAGCCTCTTCACGTTTTCTGCCTGAGCAAGTTCAAACTGCAGCTGCTGAATATAATCTCTAAGTGACGCACTTTCCTTATGTTTAACAACGCCTTCTACGTCATTGACAATGTCATTTAGAAAATTTGTCACTGTCAATTGTAGCTTCTGATCTTCCAGCTGGCTCTTCACTTGATCGAGTTCAGCTTTGAGATTTTTGTTTTGCACACGCAGTCGATAACTCTTGACCTGCTCATCGTAGAGTTTTACTTCATGTTGATCAGCCATCTTTTTAACTTTTGACTTCCACTTTGCTTCGATGGTCTTGATCTTTTCGTGCTTGCCTTCCAATGCATTCAGCAAAGAGTTTCTATCCACCGTCATTTCGTGGAGCTCGTAAGCCAAAAGGGTAGAATGGTATTCAAACATTTTAGCTTTGCCTGTCAAAGACTCAATTTGTATCTTGTTATCTTCGTTCATCTTTCTCTCGTCAGCGAGTTGCTTTTGTAACTCCTTGATTGCTTCCTTGAGGCTGCTGTTTTCTTCCTTCAAATCTTCTTTTTCATTTGCATCGTCGTTGGAAATCTGAAGATCTGGTTGAGATTCAACATCCGTTTCAGACTCCTTGTCTTTGAATGATATGCAATACTTTGTCGTAGCTGACTGGCAAATATATGCATCCATTTCTTCAAGAGGGGCAGCCAGTTTCTAAAATACAATTTTTACAATTTTCAGAAAAGCTTCTTTTACCAGCCAGTGTATCCAGTTAAAGTGACATCTGAGAATACATTCCTTTTGCCCTAAACTTAAAAATCATCGTTATCTTTCTCAATCTTTTATCATTTCCATTACAATACTGTTCCATCCACTTTTAGAGATAGGTATGATTTTCTAAGAGCAAACGAAGAATCACAAGGGCTTTTATCATTTTGTTTAAGAATCTTTAGCATCTTACCTCGGATACTTGTCTTGGTGCTTGACAATTTTCTTGTTCGGTATACAGACTGTCAAGAAGTTTCTTGTTTGTGCATCGCAATTCTGCCATCTCTGTTGACGAACGATTGCTTCCTTCTTTCAATGCAGCCATTTGTTGTCTCAAATGAACCAGCTCCTCGTTCAGCATAATCATGCGATCCTTCTCTCGCATTCTTCTTCTCTTGTTTCGCGATATACTTGTATCAGACATTTCCGCAAGTTTCGTAAGTAGTGTTCAATATTGAACCATAAATACTCTGATTTAAGGAATGCCAGTGGCGCATTTATAGGGGTTTACGCCTATTGTGACGTCAGATTGATGAGACATGAAATCGAGTTTCTTTCGTCACAGTTAAGCTTTGATGCATCAGCAAAACCGAGGCATTGCCAGTATGGCTTTATTTTGCTGATTTTTTTTCCGACCTTTCTATCTCTTGAAATCTTTCCTTCTTGTAAATTTTTGTTGAGCACTTCTTGGCTTTTAGATTTATCTCAAAAGTGTCAGCAAACTCAAAAGTTTTACTATTATTGGGTTCAAACTTTGACCATTCCTTGTTGCTAACTCAAAAAGCTAGATTAAATGGAAATAAATTCATTTTTCCTTTTTGATCCAGCTCTCTAAGTAAACGAACCCCTCTCCTTTATATCATCAAGCTTTTAATCCATCTTAATTGCTATTTGGGATCAACACTAGAGATTCATATCAGTGAGAGGCGACCTAATCTATCCCGTCATCTTGTTCATGACTTTAACCAACACTAAAAAATATGCGTTTCAAATATACCTTTGGACGAGACAAACTTCTTTCTCTTTGATTATAAGGTCTCAAGGAACTATTAAACACAAGACACTAAACTGTCTAGGGAGTATTAAATGCCCTTGTAAAGATGATTAAGTTCTGAAGAAATGAGAGGCCTGTAGCATGAAAACTCTATGCATATAAGAGCGTGTTATTTCTGATTTTATCTGTTCCTCGATCGATTCGATCGAACATGGTACTCTTTTTATGGCAAGGTTGTAGGTAAACAGGACAGTGTTTGACTGATTGCAGTTATCGAGGAGCTTAAGCAAAACGGAGAATAGAAACATCATTATGCGCAAGGTAGTTCCGTGGGTGCTTACAAAGATTTGTTTGCTAGAGGTGATAGGGAATAAAAAGGAATATATTGAGATTTTCAGAATTATGCCTTTGTAAATTCTTATAATATCTACAATGATAGGATAAAAGTTTGACCCTGCATAAGTTGCCCATTTGCCTCCTTCATTGATTCAAATCATTTCTAAATAAGATCAGCTCTTCATGCTGGCAATTTTCAAAAATATGGTGACGTTCATCGAAACTACACAAAAATGCGATAAAATAAAGCAGACAAATAAAACAAAATGAATGCAAACAGAAAAGCAAGTACCTTATGAATATATTTTCTTTAAGGGACACCTTCTGTTGCATTGTGATTCCTTTGTTTGAATCCTTTATCCAAACCTAAGCCTAAAAGTAAAAAAGCCCTACTATGTAATTGCCTCTTGGGGAGAGGTGAAATGAGAATAGAAGATACTGCAGAACGTAGGTATGAAATTTTCCAGTAAAAAATTCACAAAGATCAATCGAAAATAGGCAACATATATTTTGATTTCTTGAATGTAAAGAAATATATTTAACTTAGAGTAGAGAAGAGCAGTAACTCGCCTCTTGACTACGCCTTTAGACTCATGGAAGACGTGAGAGACTCAACTTTTAGTATATTTGATCTATCTCGAAACTTTTGGATAAACAATCTCAAGCAGCATTTCTAGTAACTTCTTTGTATGAACGAAAATCGATATCGATCTGATCACAACTCCCCTCTCTCAATTGTTTTTCAATATTTTTCCAGAAATCAGAAAATAGAACTTCGGAAAAATAGGGAGGACATGTCCACTTCAGTTTACCCCTTGGCGACGCTACTGACGAAGATTAGGGTTCTGCAGAGCTATCGTAGATTCCTGTTCTTTTATGCATTTCAGTCAAGCATGTTTTCAAACACCATAGAAGCAGAAGCAGTTTTTCAAACATTTCTACCTGCCAATGTCTCTGGTTTAGTACCCTTAAACAAATAACATTGCTCTTTTTAAATATTTTGCTCAGTACCCCAGTCCAAAAATAGCTTTTGGGGGCTTTTTTAAGCTTGATATGAACTTCTTCTTATTCAGCATATCGGATTGTGTACTTGTACCGATTTTCATGCTATTATCATAACATGGACAATTCCACTGCTATGCGTCTGCACAATCAGGAAACTCGAGAAAGCAAGTTGTTTGACAAAACGAAAAGTTTCCACAGCCATAACTTCTTGTTTATAGGTCAGATCACATTGCTCTTTTTGAATCTTTTGCTCAGTTTTGCATGTTCTTTCCGATAGTAGCATCAGATTTGAAAAATTTGAAAGTTGAAATTTTGCTGACCGTGCATTTTTCATGCTTCCGGAAACGGAACTTCCAGTGCAAAATTCCCTGTCTAAAATAGAAGCAAATTTGTCGCACTACCCCTTCTGAAAAGTGTTTTTACGCTGCTAAATCATTTAACATGCCGTTTCGCCTTTGCGACTGAAGTAAACCCCCAGACAATCAGCGTTGTGTACGTGAGGTTACTTTCGTACTAAAAATAGCCATTTTCTACTTTTCCATAAGCAACTTTATGTTCCTTACATAATTTTTCTTTACTTTGATAGGAGCAGCTTATGAAGATAGCTCCAACGAAGAGGCGGAGAAGAGTGTCCCAGAAGAGGTTCACGTAGAGGAAGATTCTACAAGCGAAGAAGAGGAAGACCCAGAAGCTGAAGAGCCCTCTGAAGATGCGGACAGTGATGCTACGGAAGTGGAACAGGACAGTGATGCTACGGAACCGGAAGAGGACAGTGATGTAGCTGAAGGTAATTATCGTCTTTTAATTTCGTTGGTTCTTTAGCAGTTATATATTACGTAAATGTTTACTTGGATGAAACGCTCTGAAGAAACATTAAATCGATTTTGCAATGAAAAGAGCCTCTTTTTCATTTCAATTTGTATGTCTTTCATTCGTTTAATGTGTTTAATTGGTCTCTTTTAGACAATTCTGAACTAACAGCGAAGGACAGCACTGTATCAGATCCCACTGTATCACTGTATGTATGGGGCACACGTAGACGTTACAGGCGCAGAAGTAGTTTCCGCAGACGTTACAGGCGCAGAAGTCGCTTCCGCAGACGTTACAGGCGCAGAAGTAGCTTCCGCAGACGTTACAGGCGCAGAAGTAGCTTCCGCAGACGTTACAGGCGCAGAAGTAGTTTCCGCAGACGTTACAGGCGCAGAAGTAGCTTCCGCAGACGTTACAGGCGTAGAAGTAGTTTCCGCAGACGTTACAGGCGCAGAAGTCGCTTCCGCAGACGTTACAGGCGCAGAAGTAGCTTCCGCAGACGTTACAGGCGCAGAAGTAGCTTCCGCAGACGTTACAGGCGCAGAAGTAGCTTCCGCAGACGTTACAGGCGTAGAAGTAGTTTCCGCAGACGTTACAGGCGCAGAAGTCGCTTCCGCAGACGTTACAGGCGCAGAAGTAGCTTCCGCAGACGTTACAGGCGCAGAAGTAGCTTCCGCAGACGTTACAGGCGCAGAAGTAGCTTCCGCAGACGTTCTTGGCACAGACGCAGGCGACACGGGAAGTAAGCCAGGAACTGACTGAGATACTTCTTGTACTTGCACGTTTTGTTTTCCATTTTTATGTTTACATATCAAAGCGGTTGATATAAATAAACCGAGAAAAATAATGGGCTGTTTTTTGTCTTGTTTTCTGAAAAGGACCGCCAACCTTTTGCCTCGAACATTTGGCTATGCGGTAAACGCTTACTCATGTAGGGATGAATTGCATCTACTCGTAAAATGAAAGAAAAGTTAAAGCAAATTACTATAAGATTGTTTCAAAGAAGGATTGAGATACCGGAATGGAAGGGAGCTTTGGCTCTCCCCAAAAGACTTAAATACTATAAGTAGAATCCTTTTTTGCTGTAAAATATGGCTGTTTTTGCACATTTTTATCAGAGCTGCCCGCCCCTAAACAAAAAGCTGCATCTCGGTCTATGGTTTCGAAGGAGGTAAACGAAAGAAAGTGGTCCTAAGATGCCTACTATATTTCATTAGCAGCTCCGAGGTAGGGGTTGAAGGCCAGCTGAGGAACTTCTTAGGCATGGGTGGGGCAGCAACCAACAAAGTGGATACAACACAGAAAATTTATTTTTAATGTCGGTTAATTTGGCAGTTCCTTACCACCGAAAAAGTTGAATTTCTTGGCGTAGACTTTAGTTAAAAGAAATTTACAATTTTATAGAGTACATAAGACAAGATTTGAAATATAAATCTGAAAAGAGTACAAAGAACTGAGATAATTTTAATGATGACAATATTCTGAAATTGGAAAATTCTGTTCTTTGTAAATCTTTGAAGAAGCGTCGAGTGTTAAACACATTATTTTCATTTAAGACATAAGCTCTACGAATATCATCTGTACAGAAATGAATCCACAATAGAAGCTACAACCCAATCTATATGAAATAATGTTTAATGACAAGCAAATGTCGAATGTAATCCCTGGGCCAGTTTTGTCAACAGTGTATGCGCTGTTTGAAATATTGCGTTTACTGTTTAATTTTTTGTTTACTGCGACCATTCAATATGATATGTGGTACATTAAGAAATAGTTGAAACTTGATGCAGGTTTGTTGGTAATTGATTTTTTATGAAAATATGCGGCCAGTTTGTCACTATGGAACTATTCAGAACTAAGGAGTGCCCAGGTCGAGTTTTGAACTTTTAGCCATAAGGGCCCCACAAGAAGCAACTTTCTTGATAATAAAAGCCAAGAAGAATATATTTTATCATTTACAAGCCTTTATTTCCGCTGTACTTCAGCAAATTTGTAATACTCAAGACTCGTTTAAACGTTCCATCATTCAAATTTATCAACTTATTTCCAAATTTTCTAGAAACATGCTGTATGAAAATTTACTGCTAGAAAAACAGATTTTCTCAAAGTTTACTTGATACGGAGAGCTTGCTCCTGTCTTTTCCCGTAAATACTATTGATAAAGAGCTCTTCAAACGCGTCAAGCTTCCTAAAACCAATTCACAACAAGCTTTTTCTTCGTTGCTTCATTTCATTTCGCCTGTTTTGAATTAGCGGCCTTGCAAAAAGGATAGGAAAGCTGTAAAAAATATGAAAGCCAAATCATTGGTGTCAAAAACCCAGTTTAGGCCAAGTTTGAAAACGAGGGTCTCGGTCACAACAATGCGCAGTTCTAAAACAAGGCTGCTGCTTTTTCTAAAACTTCTGTAACGATTTCGTTAAGTTCCCTTTGATCATTGAAGTTTTTGCGAGCAAGCTTTGAAACGAAACATAAGTCGTAAGCTATAAGTTACATAAAATCTTCCTTATGAATGCTTACAGCCAATTTTCTGTAACAACCCGAGCTCTGAAAAAATGGCACATGAGTGTGACCTGACAACTACAGGTTGCATCTATTTACGCTGCTTCAATTTAAAAAAATAGTCTTTTTGTGACTTTATTAATGTTTTTATGGTGTCTAGAAGTAAGAAAATAAAGCTATTAAATGAAAATTTTATCAGATCTCATGATAAAGCGATCATGAGAAAACAACGAAAAGCAATGTATCACTTTTTACTTAGTATCTACACTTTCTCTTTTTTATAAGAACCATTAAATTCAATTTCAGGCTGACTGTTCTTAATTTTTCGAAAATCTAAGGCTGGATTGTTCTTAATTTATTCTTAAATTAAGAGGGCGTAAGCAGTGCTATTGCTAGCGTTTTCGCTCTAAAGAGGTGTTCAGGCCCCATTTGCCAACAAAGTGAGTGAGACAGCCTTAATTTGCTGACAAATTTGAATATTCACCGAAAAAGCACCCACGCATCGCTAAAAATCCTCTATTTTGAGAAAAAAACGTTGTTCAAAATTGCATTTTGCAGAAGCTCAGCCTCAGCTTGTTCTTAATGTGTTCTTAACTTTTGACCAGTTTTGAGGCTCGTGTTCTTATAAAATTGTTATTATAAAAGATAGAGTGTATTACAAGTTTGTTCTAAAACTGGCTTGTTAGGGTTATGTATGCAACTGATGTGCCTGGAGTATTTAAAATTGAGATAGCAATCTCATAATGTTACTATAGGATGAATACTACTAGGCTTCTACTAGGTCTTTGTTGTAAAACAGCAGCACCGAAGTTAAGAAAAAATAACACTTCTTTAAAGGCAGCAATAAACAAATATCTCAGAAGCTTCAATTGCTGAATTAGCATTTAAGACAGATTTGAGGAAGAAGATTAACATTGACCAATTCACGAGAGAAAAGCATTCACTGTTTGCGTCATGAGATCAGAAATATCATCAGGTGTATTAATATGCGCCGAAAACTGCAAGTGAAGCATTATAAGAGGAATTTTCAAAGGAGTGCAGAGGAATTTGGGAATGTTATCCTTTCGACAACTAGGAAGAAGTTTCCTTTATTTTTTGAATTTTCTTTAATAAGAGAAGGGGCTAAAACTAAATTTACTTTTTATATTTGATGTGTCAAGACGAAATGGCATTGAAATTGATTCTATTTTTACTATCTTGCTTCTGAAGATAGCATTTAGAGCACCGTGAAGCTATGATTATGGTGCAGTGATCTGGTCCGTCATCTCGATGCGAAAGAATCTCATTCTACCTGTGCCTAGAATAACAGATTTCTGTCGACTCCCCCGCTCTAAGAATCCGTTTACACTAGCACGGATCCAAATGGATCCGTACACAAATTAGAACAGATAGGCTTTTCGTTTACACTAGACCTGCCGGATCCGTAATCATTTGTGTCTGCTATCTGGACCCGTGTGGAATCGCTTTCCAAGGTGTACTCACTTGGATCCGTTCCAGTCTAGGTCTATTGTAAACGGCTGGAACCAAACCAAACCAAGCACACTTCGGATACAAGGCATTAAACTTTCTCTTTAAAAGGCCAATTGTTGTCGCAAAAACCTTGAATTCCATAAATCAGAGAGATGGATGAGCAACACAAACAGAAAGATCTCCTTGTGCTTACAATGTCAGTGTCATGTTTTAATTTCTGGCTGCAGTATATTGCTTTTCTATGTGCTCAACATATTCATCAGTTGAGACTAGCTTTGATTATATCTAAACAAAGCAACATGGGACTAGTCCTACATCATAAAATTCAAAAACAGCGATATCATCACCACAAAACCAATAAGATTCTGGCAACGATCAGGAAAAACTAGCGGAAATCTTTAAAACGAGAAAATCTTTGATTTTGATTCACCTGCAGCGTTTTATCATTTTCTGATGTCATTTTCCCTGACTTTCACTCACACTTGCTATGTTGCAAAAATGGCCCGCCAAAACTGCTGAAATATTGAAGGGATCTCGTTCCCATTATCAATGGGAGGTCAAGTAGCCGCCCAGAAGGGGAACTTGGCACACAGACATACGGGGGTCAAATGTTTGCCAAAAGTGATATTTTTGGGTTAAATATTTGTCAGAAATGATATTTTTGGGTGCTGCGAAAATAGTAGATACAGTTCTGATAATTCTAGGTATCAAATTTAGAAACACTGATATTTTTGGGTATTCGTGAGATTTCGATATCCGAATCAAATGTATTGTTCATGGATCTAATTCGCTGAGGTTTATTTTACCCACTTCAAGTCACGTCGGGAGTCATGTTACCATACTCTTTGGAAGTTTTAATGCTACTGTTGTACTCACTGTAAACTTTATATGACACAAAATATGCTAGAGAAGTCAAACGATGCCTTACCAAGGGACTGAAAACATCAAGGACACCTGCAGGACTGGGGCAACAGGGGCAATCGCCCCCTGCCCTCTGCCAACAGATGCAGTGGGGGCAAGATGTGCCCTTCTAATTGAAGTTATTCTCAGTTTCAATTGTGATTGCAACTGCAACTATTTACGGTTTTTTTGAAATGCAGATCTTATAAACTACAGCTATGTCGTATTATCTCACCCAAAATTCCAATTTGTGATATTTTTGGATACAAGATATAAGTAAAACTGATATTTTTGGGTCTTATTGAAAATGTGCTGATATTTTTGGGTGGCCTTTAAATTTCTTGGACTTACCCCCCCTCCCGTATGTCTATGTGCAGAGTGCCCCCCCCCCTGGGAGTAGCCGAAACAGTGGACTGGATCCGTTCCAGTGTAAACACCAACAAAACTGGATCCGTACCCATTTGGATCCATGATAGTGTAAACGGGGTCTAAGTGAAACTTTTGGCAGAAGCTCAAGCGCCAAAATGTCGAATCTGTAACTTGCCCCATTGAAAATAAGCAATCTATGTAGTTAGATGATGGCTTCTTTGTTTTATATCACATGTCAAACTGTCACATGATCAATTCACGTCACGTGAATAATAAGTTATCGAGCAGATGGTATTTTAGCATATTTTCACGATATAAGCGGATGAAAATATGAAATATTTATGTTTATTATCAATGTTTGCATTCACATTACACCCCCTATTACAACTAATTGGTGCTAAACGTGGGGCATTGAAATAGAGAAAACAAGGGACAAAGTTGGTCAATGATAGTTGCATTGCTGCATGCTAATATTGTTTCTGAGGTACTGGTACAGAAACTAATCAATATTTCCTAAATATTCATTCATTGCAACGAAAAAGACAACTTTAGTGTATAATGACCGGTTTGGTATTTCCCGGTATCCATTTTCAAACATGCCTGTCATTTAAGGTTTCATTTAGAACAGTGAGTGCCAAGATGAAATCTTCTCTATAAACACCATGCATGGCTTTTTCGTATCGTGTCCAAAACGTAGAAACGACTGTCATTAAAAGCTGATTTTTATGCAATAGCAATATCATTAAAACCGATTCATTATTTACAAAAAAGCAGAATGACTATCTAAAAATGTTCCCGCAACACAAATACAATTGATTTCGTTAATAAGGGTTCCTCTTCCCATCCTGATCATCTACAGCAAAGCAATCTTCGTAAACATCCTCTGCGCTTCTTTGCTTGAAGTTCCTCAATGATGTTTTCTTTCTCCTCAACTTTTTCCATAAGTTCCTCGATGACTTCCATCAGTCCATCGTTGTCTTTATTCTTTCTCTCGAAAGCGTGTTTTAAACGTTGGCTATCTTTAGATAGGGTTGCATTCGCCTCTTTTAAACTGGTACAGTTCTCTTCAAGCTGCTTTATTTGTGCCACGAACAACATCTTCGCAGTGATTCGGTCAGTTTGTTCCTCCAAGAACTTTTTGTGGGCCTCAGTATTTTCCTGGCGCATTACAAGAACTCTCTTCTTAAGCAGTGTGTTGTCTTGTTGAAGCCGTTCGTTCTGCTGTTCAACAATTTGATATTGGCCTAAAAGCTTCTGATATTCTTCTTTTCTCTGCTCCTCTTTGTGCTGTCGAAGCCTCTTCTCGTTTTCTGCTTGAACAAGCTCAAATTGCAGCTGCTGAATGTGATCTCTAAGTGACGAACTTTCTTTCTGTTTAACGAGGCCTTCTACGTCATTGACAATGTCATTTAGAAAATTTGTCACTGTCAGTTGCAGCTTCTGATCTTCCATCTCGTTCTTCACTTGATCGAGTTCAGCTTTGAGATTCTTGTTTTGCACACGCAGTCGATAACTCTTGACCTGCTCATCGTAGAGTTTTACTTCATGTTGATCAGCCATCTTTTTAACTTTTGCCTTCCACTTTGCTTCGATGGTCTTGATCTTTTCGTGCTTGCCTTCCAGCGCATTCAGCAAAGAGTTTCTATCCACCGTCATTTCCTGGAGCTGGTAAGCCAAAAGGGTAGAATGGTCTTCAAACATTTTAGCTTTGCCTGTCAAAGACTCAATTTGTATCTTGTTATCTTCGTTCATCTTTCTCTCGTCAGCGAGTTGCTTTTGTAACTCCTTGATTGCTTCCTTGAGGCTGCTGTTTTCTTCCTTCAAATCTTCTTTTTCATTTGCATCGTCGTTGGAAATCTGAAGATCTGGTTGAGATTCAACATCCGTTTCAGACTCCTTGTCTTTGAATGATGTGCAATACTTTGTCGTAGCTGACTGGCAAATATATGCATCCATTTCTTCAAGAGGGGCAGCCAGTTCCTAAAATACAATTTTTACGATGTTCAGAAAAGCTTCTTTCACCAGCCAGTGTATCCAGTTAATAATCTGAGAATACATTATTTTTGCCCTAAACTTAAAAATCATCGTTATCTTTCTAAATCTTTTATCATTTCCATTACAATACTGTTCCATCCACTTTTAGAGATAGGTATGATTTTCTAAGAGCAAACGAAGAATAATAAGGGCTTTTATCTTTTTGTTTAAGAATCTTTAGCATCTTACCTCGGATACTTGTCTTGGTGCTTGACAATTTTCTCGTTCGGTATGAAGACTGTCAAGAAGTTGCTTGTTTGTGCATCGCAATTCTGCCATCTCTGTTGACGAACGATTGCTTCCTTCTTTCAATGCAGCCATTTGTTGTCTCAAATGAACCAGCTCCTCGTTCAGCATAATCATGCGATCCTTCTCTCGCATTCTTCTTCTCTTGTTTCGCGATATATTCGTATCTGCCATGTTTTCGAGATTCGTAAACAGTGTTTCGATATTGAATCATAAATACTTTGATTTAAGGAATGCCAGTGGCGCATTTATAGGGGTTTACGCCTATTGTGACGTCAGATTGATGAGACATGAAATCGAGTTTCTTTCGTCACAGTGAAGTTTTGATGCATCAGCAAAACCGAGGCATTGCCAGTATGGCTTTATTTTGCTGATTTGTTTTCCGACCTTTCTATCTCTTGAACTTATTCCTTCTTGTAAATTTTTGTTGAGCACTTCTTGGCTTTTAGATTTATCTCAAAAGTGTCAGCAAACTCAAAAGTTTTACTATTATTGGGTTCAAACTTTGACCATTCCTTGTTGCTAACTCAAAAAGCTAGATTAAATGGAAATAAATTCATTTTTTCTTTTTTATCCAGCTCTCTAAGTAAACGAACCCCTCTCCTTTATATCATCAAGCTTTTAATCCATCTTAAATGCTATTTGGGATCAACACTAGAGATTCATATCAGTGAGAGGCGACCTAATCTACGCTATCACCTTGTTCATGACTTGCTCACTGTGTTTTTAACCAACAATAAAAAATGTGCGTTTCAAATATACCTTTGGACGAGACAAACTTCTTTCTCTTTGATTATAAGGTCTCAAGGAACTATTAAACACAAGAAACTAAACTGTCTAGGGAGTATTGAATGCCCTTGTAAAGATTATTAAGTTCTGAAAATTTAAAGCCTGTATCATGAAAACTCTATGCACATAAGAGCGTGTTATTTTTTATCTGTTCCTCGATCAGTCCAATCGAACATGGTACTCTTTTTATGGCAAAGTTGTAGGTAAACAGGACAATGTTTGACTGATTGCAGTTATCGAGGAGCTTAAGCAAAACGGTGAAAAAGAAACAACATTTTGCGCAAGGTAGTTCCGTGGGTGCTTACAAAGATTTGTTTGCTAGATGTGATAGGGAATAAAAAGGAATATATTGAGATTTTCAGAATTATGCCTTTGTAAATTCTTATAATATCTACAATGACAGAATAAAAGATTGACCCTGCAAAAGTTGCCCATTTGCCTCCTTCATTGATTCAAATCATTTCTAAATAAGATGAGATCTTCATGCTGGCAATTTTCAAAAATATGGTGACATTCATCGAAACTACATAAAAATGCGATAAAATAAAGCAGACAAATAAAACAAAATGAATGCAAACAGAAAAGCAAGTACCTTTTGAGTATATTTTTTTTAAGGGACACCTTTTGTTGGATTGTGAATCCTTTGTTTGAATCCTTTATCCAAACCTAGGCCTAAAAGTAAAAAAAGTCCTACTAAGTAATTGCCTCTTAGAGAGAGGGGAAGTGAGAATAGAAGATACCGCAGAACGTAGGTATGAAATTTTCCAGTAAAAGATTCACAAAGATCAATCGAAAATAGCCAACATATATTTTGATTTCGATAATATAAAGAAAATATATTTCAATTAGAAAAGAGAAGGGCAGTAACTCGCCTCTTGATCACACCTTTAGACTCATGAAAAGCGTGAGAAACGCCACTTTTAGTATATTTGATCTATCTCGAAACTTTTGGATAAACAATCTCAAGCAGCATTTCTAGTAACTTCTTTGTATGAACGAAAATCAATATCGATCTGATCACAACTCCCCTCTCTCAATTGTTTTTCAATGTTTTTCCAGAAATCAGAAAATAGAACTTTGGAAAAATAGGGAGGACATGTCCACTTCAGTTCACCCCTTGGCGACGCTACTGACGAAGATTAGGGTTCTGCAGAGCTATCGTAGATTCCTGTTCTTTTATGCATTTCAATCAAGCATGTTTTCAAACACCATAGAAGCAGAAGCAGTTTTTCAAACATTTCTACCTGCCAATGTCTCTGGTTTAGTACCCTTAAACAAATAACATTGCTCTTTTTAAATCTTTTGCTCAGTACCCCAGTCCAAAAATAGCTTTTGGGGGCTTTTTTAAGCTTGATATGAACTTCATCTTATTCAGCATATCGGATTGTGTACTTGTACCGAACTTCATGCTATTATCATAACATGCACAATTCTACTGCTATGCGTCTGCACAATCAGGAAACTCGAGAAAGCAAGTTGTTTGACAAAACGAAAAGTTTCCACAGCCATAACTTCTTGTTTATAGGTCAGATCACATTGCTCTTTTTGAATCTTTTGCTCAGTTTTGCATGTTCTTTCTGATAGTAGCATCAGATTTGAAAAATTTGAAAGTTGAAATTTTTCTGACCGTGCATTTTTCATGCTTCCGGAAACGCAACTTCCGGTGCGAAATTCCCTGTTTAAAGTGGAAGCAAATATGTCGTAATACCCCTTCTGAAAAGTGTTTTTAAGCTGCTAAATCATTTAACATGCCGTTTCGCCTTTGCGACTGAAGTAAACCCCCAGACAATCAGCGTTGTGCATGTGAGGTTACTTTTGTACTAAAAACGGCCATTTTCTACTTTTCCATAAGCAACTTTATGTTCCTTACATAATTTATCTTTACTTTGATATGAGCAGCTCTTGAAGATAGCTCCAACGAGGTGGCAGAGAAGAGTGTCCCAGAAGAGGTTCATGTAGAGGAAGATTCTACAGGCGAAGACGAGGAAGACCCAGAAGCTGAAGAACCCTTTGAAGATGAAGACAGTGATGCTACGGAACCGGAAGAGGACAGTGATGTAGCTGAAGGTAATTACCGCCTTTTAATTTCGTTGGTTCTTTAGCAGTTATATATAACGAAATACTACGTAATTGTTATGAAAGGCTCTGAAGAAACACTAAATTAATTATGTAATGGAAAGGGCCTTCTTCCATTCGTTGAATGTGTTTGATTGGTTTCTTTTAGACAATTCTGAACAAACAGCAAAGGACAGCACTGTATCAGATCCCCTTGTCTGGGGTTCACGCAGACGTTACAGGCGCAGAAATAGCTTCCGCAGACGTTACAGGCGAAGATATAGCTTCCGCAGACGTTCTTGGCGCAGACGCAGGCGACACGGGAAGTAAGCCAGGAACTGACTAAGAAACTTCTAATACTTGCACGTTTTGTTTTCCATTCTTATGTTTACATATCAAAGCGGTTGATATAAATAAACCGAGAAAAATAGTGGGCTTTTTTTTTGTTTTGTTTTCTGAAAAGGACCGCCAACCTTTTGCCTCGAACATTTGGCTATGCGGTAGACGCTTACGCATTTAGGGATGAATTGCATCTACTCGTTAAATGAAAGAAAAGGTAAATCAAATTACTATAAGTTTGTTTCGAAGAAGGACCGAGATACCGGAAGGGAAGGGAGCTTTGGCCCTCCCTAGAATTCTTTTTTCCTGTAAAATATGGCTGTTTTTCACATTTTTATCAGGGCTGCCCGTCCCCAAACAAAAAGTTGCATCTCGGTCTATGGTTTCGAAGGATGTAAACGAGAAGAAGTGGTCCTAAGATGCTTACTATATTTCATTAGCAGCTTCGAGGTAGGGGTTGAAGACCAGCTGAAGATCTTATTATTCATTGTAAATCTTTGAAGAAGCGTCGAATGCTAAATACATTCTTTTCATTTAAGACATAAGCTCTACGAATATCATCTGTACAGAAATGAATCCACAATAGAAGCTACAACCCAATTTATATAAAATAATGTTTAATGACAAGCAAATGTCGAATGTAATCCCTGGGCCAGTTTCGTCAACAGTGTATGCGCTGTTTGGAATATTGCGTTTACTGTTTAATTTTTTGTTTACTGCGACCATTCAATATGATATGTGTTACATTAAGAAATAATTGAAACTTAATACAGGTTTGTTGGTAATTGGTTTTCTTATGAAAATATGCAGCCAGTTTGTCACCATGGAACTATTCAGAGCTAAGGAGTGCTCAGGTCGAGTTTTGAACTTTTAGCCACAAGGGCCCCATAAGAAGCAACTTTCTTGATAACAAAAGCCAAAAAGAATATTTTCTGTCATTTACAAGCCATTATTTCCGCTGTACTTCAGCCAATTTCTAATACTCAATACTCGATTAAACGTCCCATTGTTTAAATTTATCAACTTATTTCCTAATTTTCTAGAAACATGCTGTATGAAAATTTACTGCTAGAAAAACAGATTATCTCAAAGTTTACTCGATACGTAGAGCTTGCTCCTGTCTTTTCTCGCAAGTACTTATGTAACATTAACGCTGGTTTCTATTCACGTTGCTTGTTAATAAAGGGCTTATTAAACATGTCAAGCTTCCTGAACAACCAATTCACAACAACCTTTTTCTTTATTGCTTCATTTAATTTCGCCCGTTTTGAATTAACGGCCATGCAAAAAGGATAGGAAAGCTGTAAAAAATATGAAAGCAAAATCATTGGTGTCAAAAACCCAGCTTAGGCCAAATTTGAAAACGAGGGTCTCGATCACAAGAATGCGCAGTTCTAAAACAAGGCTGCTGCCTTTTTTCAAAAAGTGGTACTTCTGTAACGATTTCGTTAAGTTCCTTTTGATCATTGACGTTTTTGCGAGCAAACTTTGAAACGAAACATAAATCGCAAACTATAAGTTACATAAAATCTTGCTTTTGAATGCTTCCAGCCAATTTTCTGTAACAATTTTCAGTAAATTTACTTTTTATATCTTATGTGTCAAGACGAAAAGGCATGGCATAATTTTTTATTTTTACTACCTTATTTCTGAAGGTAACTTTTAGGGCACTGTGAAGCTATGCTTATCGTGCTGTGATCTGGTCCCTCGATGTGACAAGACCTCGTGCTACCTCCCCTCACTCTAAGTAAAACTTTCAGCAGGAGCTCAAACGCCAGAAACTTGAATCTGTAATCTGCGCCATTGACAACTGAACAATCTTTTTAGCTAGATGAGGGCTTCTTTGTTTGAAATCACATGTCAAGCTGTCACATGGTCAAATCACGTCACATGAATAATAAGTTATAGAGCAGGTGCTATTTTAGCATATTTTCATGATATAAGCAGACAAAAATATGAAATATTTCTGTTTATTATCAATGTTTGCATTCTCATCAACCCCCTATTACAACTATAATTGGTGCTAAACGTGGGGCATTGAAATAGAGAAAACAAGGGACAAAGTCGGTCAATGATTGGTGCATTGCTGCATGCTAATATTGTTTCTGAGGTACTGGTACAGAAACTAATCAATATTTCCTAAATATTCATTAATTGCAACGAAAAAGACAACTTTAGAGTATAATGACCGATTTGGTATTTCTTGGTATCCTATTTTAAACATGCCTGTCATTTAAGGTTTCATTTAGAACTGTGAGTGCCAAAATCAAATCTTCCCTATAAACACCATGCATGGCTTCTTCGTATCGTGTCCAAAACGTAGAAACGACTGTCTTAAAAAACTGATTTTTATGCAATGCAATATCATTAAAACCGATTTAATATTTACAAAAAAGCAGAATGACTATCTCAAAATGTTCCCGCAACACAAATACAATTGATTTCGGTTAAGAAGAGTTCCTCTTCCCATCCTGATCATCTACAGCAGAGCAATCTTCGTAAACATCCTCTGCGCTTCTTTGCTTGAAGTTCCTCAATGATGTTTTCTTTCTCCTCAACTTTTTCCATAAGTTCCTCGATGACTTCCATCAGTCCATCGTTGTCTTGGTTCTTTCTCTCGAAAGCGTGCTTTAAACGTTGGCCATCTCTAGATAGGGTTGCATTCGCCTCTTTTAAACTGGTACAGTTCTCTTCAAGCTGCTTTATTTGTGCCACGAACGACATCTTCGCAGTGATTCGGTCAGTTTGTTCCTCCAAGAACTTTTCGTGGGCCTCAGTATTTTCCTGGCGCATCACAAGTACTCTCTTCTTAAGCAGTGTGTTGTCTTCTTCAAGCAGTTGGTTCTGCTGTTCAACAATTTGATATTGATCAAAAAGCTTCTTATATTCCTCTGCTCCCTGCTCCTCTTTGTGTTGTTGAAGCCTCTTCACGTTTTCTGCCTGAGCAAGTTCAAACTGCAGCTGCTGAATATGATCTCTAAGTGACGCAATTTCCCTCTGTTTAACGTGGCCTTCTACATCATTGACAATGTCATTTAGAAAAGTTGTCACTGTCAGTTGCAGCTTCTGACCTTCCAGCTCGCTCTTCACTTGATCGAGTTCAGCTTTAAGATTTTTGTTTTGCACACGCAGTTGATAACTCTTGATCTGCTCATCGTAGAGTTTTACTTCATGTTGATCAGCCATCTTTTTAACTTTTGCCTTGTTTTTTGCTTGGATGGTTTTGATCTTTTCGTGCTTGCCTTCCAATGCATTCAGCAAGAGTTTCTATCCACCGTCATTTCGTGGAGCTCGTAAGCCAAAAGGGTAGAATTGTCTTCAAACGTTTTAGCTTTGACTCTCAAAGACTCGATTTGGAATTTGTTATCTTCATTGTTCTTTCTCTCGTCAGCGAGTTGCTTTTGTAACTCCTTGATTGCTTCCTTGAGGCTGCTATTTTCTTCCTTCAAATCTTCTTTTTCATTTGCATCGTCGTTGGAAATCTGAAGATCGGGTTGAGATTCAACATCCGTTTCAGACTCCTTGTCTTTGAATGATGTGCAATGCTTTGTCGTAGCTGACTGGCAAATATGTGCATCCATTTCTTCAAGAGGGGCAGCCAGTTCCTAAAATACAATTTTTACAATTTTCAGAAAAGCTTCTTTTACCAGTGTATCCAGTTAAAGTGACATCTGAGAATACATTCCTTTTACCCTAAACATAAAAATCATCGTTATCTTTCTCAATCTTTTATCATTTCCAGTACAATACTGTTCCATCCACTTTTAGAGATAGGTATGAATTTCTAAGAGCAAACGAAGAATCATAAGGGCTTCTATCTTTTTGCTTAAGAATCTTTAGCATCTTACCTCGGATACTTGTCTTGGTGCTTGACAATTTTCTTGTTCAGTATACAGACTGTCAAGAAGTTTCTTGTTTGTGCATCGCAATTCTGCCATTTCTGTTGACGAACGATTGCTTCCTTCTTTCAATGCAGCCATTTGCTGTCTCAAATGAACCAGCTCCTCGTTCAGCATAATCATGCGATCCTTCTCTCGCATTCTTCTTCTCTTGTTTCGCGATATACTCGTATCAGACATTTTCGCAAGTTTCGTAAACAGTGTTCAATATTGAACCATAAATAATTTGATTTAAGGAATGCCAGTGGCGCATTTATAGGGGTTTACGCCTATTGTGACGTCAGATTGATGAGACATGAAATCGAGTTTCTTTCGTCACAGTGAAGTTTTGATGCATCAGCAAAACCGAGGCATTGCCAGTATGGCTTTATTTTGCTGATTTGTTTTCCAACCTTTCTATCTCTTGAACTCTTTTTTTCTTGTAAATTTTTGTTGAGCACTTCTTGGCTTTTAGATTTATCTCGAAAGTGTCAGCAAACTCAAAAGTCTTACTATTATTGGGTTCAAACTTTGACCATTCCTTGTTGCTAACTCAAAAAGCTAGATTAAATGGAAATAAATTCATTTTTCCTTTTTTATCCAGCTCTCTAAGTAAACGAACTCCTCTCCTTTATATCATCAAGCTTTTAATCCATCTTAAATGCTATTTGGGATCAACACTAGAGATTCATATCAGTGAGAGGCGACCTAATCTACGCTATCACCTTGTTCATGACTTGCTCACTGTGTTTTTAACCAACAATAAAAAAATGTGCGTTTCAAATATACCTTTGGACGAGACAAACTTCTTTCTCTTTGATTATAAGGTCTCAAGGAACTATTAAACACAAGAAACTAAACTGTCTAGGGAGTATTGAATGCCCTTGTAAAGATGATTAAGTTCTGAAAAATTTAAAGGCCTGTATCATGAAAACTCTATGCACATAAGAGCGTGTTATTTTTTATCTGTTCCTCGATCGATCCGATCGAACATGGTATTCTTTTTATGGCAAAGTTGTAGGTAAACAGGACAGTGTTTGACTGATTGCAGTTATCGAGGAGCTTAAGCAAAACGGAGAATAGAAACATCATTCTGCAGAAGGTAGTTCCGTGGGTGCTTACAAAGATTTGTTGCTAGATGTGATAGGGAATAAAAAGGAATATATTGAGATTTTCAGAATTATGCCTTTGTAAATTCTTATAATATCTACAATGACAGAATAAAAGATTGACCCTGCAAAAGTTGCCCATTTGCCTCCTTCATTGATTCAAATCATTTCTAAATAAGATGAGATCTTCATGCTGGCAATTTTCAAAAATATGGTGACATTCATCGAAACTACATAAAAATGCGATAAAATAAAGCAGACAAATAAAACAAAATGAATGCAAACAGAAAAGCAAGTACCTTTTGAGTATATTTTTTTTAAGGGACACCTTTTGTTGGATTGTGAATCCTTTGTTTGAATCCTTTATCCAAACCTAGGCCTAAAAGTAAAAAAAGTCCTACTAAGTAATTGCCTCTTAGAGAAAGGGGAAGTGAGAATAGAAGATACCGCAGAACGTAGGTATGAAATTTTCCAGTAAAAGATTCACAAAGATCAATCGAAAATAGCCAACATATATTTTGATTTCGATAATATAAAGAAAATATCAAATATAAAATATAAAAATTTCAATTAGAAAAGAGAAGGGCAGTAACTCGCCTGTTGATCACGCCTTTAGTCTCATGAAAAGCGTGAGAAACGCCACTTTTAGTATATTTGATCTATCTCGAAACTTTTGGAAAAACAATCTCAAGCAGCATTTCTAGTAAGTTTTTTGTATGAACGAAAATCGAAATCGATCTGATCACAACTCCCCTCTCCCAATTGTTTTTCAATGTATTTCCAGAAATCAGAAAATAGAACTTTGGTAAAAATAGGGTGGACATGTTCACTTCAGTTCACCCCTTGACGACGCCACTGACGAAGATTGGGGTTCTGTGGAGTCATCGTAGATTCCTGTTCTTTTATGCATTTTAATGAAGCAGTTTTTCAAACACCCTTATTGCTAAACCTATCCAGAACAAATGTCGGCCTGCCAATGTCTCTGGTGTGGTACCCTTAAAGAATCATTCCAGCCAACCCCCTCCCCCGCCCCCCCGTGATGCCTGGTTCCTTCACTGGGAATACATACCTCTTCGACGGACATTCAGTCAGCTAAATTCTCATTTGGCAGCTTTTTCAGCTTTTTGCGGATAATGTACTGTAAAAAGCGAACTCGCACCTTACCAGCATGAAATTGTTTTGAAGCCAGGCGTTTGAACTCCATCTGATTTTTACTGTTCTTCAAAGCCAGTTGAGGGGAACGGCCATCACAAAGGTCTCATTAACTTTAAATGATACAACTTTTAAACCAATCACCGAAGCTCGTACCAGAAAACTTGAGACATGAAAACTTCTCCCTGAGCATAAACACAAACATCGAAACATGTTTGCTATTCTTGTGCAATTTCTGACAAAACTTTCATTCCCTTCATATCAACAAGAAACTTCACATCTTGCAATTAACGGCAAAGCTATTTACTGCTTGATTTCCTTAGTTCCCTGTGAGCATTGCATGCTTTTTGTACACTTCACGTATTGCAATTACACTTGGGGAGCAAAAGGTGCTTCAAAAAACGTGCAGCTGTTGGCAGGAGCATAAGCTATGTTATGAAAGGTTTTTCAAAACTGAGCCTATTGTATTGTGCAATAGAGTAGGGACTAAGCAGCATTGTTCACTGGACTTTTTGGATAATAAAAGGGTGGTTAAATTTCCATAATAAAATTTTTAAACGCGGAGTCGGAATAAACACGGGATTTCAAAACAGAAAAAATTAACAAGAATAAAAAGCATTAACATGAATGGAAAACTTCTTCGCTGAAGTGAAGAAAATGCAATTTTTAACTTTTCTACGAATTTGTTGTTTTGCTTTTAATGAAGGTAACATTAGCCTAACAAAAGATATAAAATTAATAACCTTTATCTAAGCCTTTTTTGAATGATGTTGACAGAACAGACGTTTCGCCTCTATCAAAAACAATACACATCCCTATTTCGCCATAATAACCATACGGAATTATACGGAAATCCAAGATTGCCGACTACGTGTATGACCATGTGACCAATTGAGAAAAAACAAATAGCCATCTTAAGTAGATAAAAAATAAGAATGAATTGTAAACAAGAACATGAAACGAGCTGATTTACAAATTGTAACAACATTCTTTGACACGAAAAGAAACTGAAAGACACTACACTTTTTCAAATAGGAACTTTATGAAATAATGTTTTATTTATACATCATTTTGATAAACGTAAGAAACATTTAAACTTCAATCTTCATATTAAACAACAGAGCACATTTAACAGCTTTCTTTTAAAGACTTATACAAAATTTTCATCCTTATAGCTGCAGAAGCAGCCAATATTATTGCTGGACAAACCTATGCAATATAAATCAACATGGAGGTCAGGGCACCAAACAGACCATTATATTTAACATATAGTAATCACACTCCAACTTGGAAAAATTTATCTTACTTCACGTTCTAGCTTATGAAGGGAATAATCCAAGTCGAGCTTTTATGATTTACTGAAAACCTTTCGAAAAATATAGGTTCTTATAATTAAACGGAGGCCACTCGCAAAAAGGCATTGGAAAAAAGCTACAAACCGCGTTAAATGAACCTAAAGCAGAATTCTACATTCAACTAGTTTCTAAAAGATTCACTGACTGTTAAAATGGTCTTCCGAAATTTTAAGGACTTCTTCAGTCGCTTCACTGTTGACACTGCGATTAGCTTGAATGTTCAAGGATAACAATGGCCCCCTTTAATAGAAATTAGACGATGAGAAAGAAGTATACAGAAAGATGTTTTGAGCAGTGGTCAGAAAGCGGATTTAAATGTGAGGAACAACATATAACTGGAAACTGGAGAAATGTTTCCTTGGCATAATTGGTAACGTATAAATTAACGCTAGACGAAAGAAATTGGGTCACTTTGGGAAAACAACCAGCAGCTGCAGTTCCAAGTGGTTTGAACTTAAAGAAGGAGACGCTTGGAAAGAAAAATGAGAATTGAGAACGATTTGACCGATAGCATAGTTTATATCTAGGCGTTTAAATGCAACTTAAAGTTAGGAGTCTCTTCGATATCTTCAGGGTTAAAAAAAGATAAAGGCTTTGGCAGTGGAAAGATTCTCAAGAGCGGATGTGACGAGAATCATTAATAGAATTACAAAAATTAATACATCATATCGAGAGTGCCAAAGATGCTTGTCTATATGTTTACATAAATCTTTTGTTGAAGGTAATTTAGCAGCAACGTGGACTTGAAAATTAATGGTGCAACAGAGCCTTATATTATCAAAATACTTATAGTATAACACTGGGTGATGAGCGAATAAAATCATTTAAAAACGGCCGATGATTGAAACATCACCAATAGAAAATTGTCACAAGAAAATCTTAAATTAAGTAGATACAAAAATATTTTCAACATGTCCTGTTTCATTATCTTTCGGCAGCAAGTTTCTTAATGAAACGATCGAGCTCCTGAAACAGAAAAAATGCAAGGGTGAGTAGAGAAAAAACAGAACTCAGGGCATTAATACAGCTCGTGGATACGAGGAAATGTTTGATACATAAAAACGCATCAAACAGTTTCAACGCATGCAAGTTAAACAGTTCCAGCATTCCTATCTTAATGATTTGTTATATAAAATTCAACTTCAAGTATTCAAAAGTTAGAAATCTCTAACGGTAGGGAAAGGATTCAAGGATAGCTGTGAGTAGACAAATAATGACATTAGCAAGAGGAAAGAAGTCCCAAAATCAACTGCCGGAAAATTGTTTAACGCAGGTGCAGCATACATGTTTTGATTAGATTTGAGGAGGGAGAGGGGGAGAGGGGGGAGATGGGGAAAGGGGGAAGAGGGTCGGAGTTGAGAGTCTTTTTGAACTTTATATACAGCAGATCCACTGGGAAAGGCTATTGATTGACAGCGGATTGATTGATTGAAAGGGATAACTTTTTTCGATTTCCTATTGAAAAGGATGATGCAGAAATTGTCGAAACAAGCACGAGCGTATGGGAGTCACAACAATTTTATATTTCTTTAATCTAACGCTTATCAACAAATGTATTTTCTAACTCTCGTGTTGATCTCTTTCCTAAACCAAACAAAGGAAAAACAACTAGTTCTATATGGAGACGAAATATCATATCTTAAAAAATCAAGATATTTTTTACAACTAATAAATCAGCTCACATGCTAACAATATTTTACAGAAAGGGATGGCATTTAAGAATACTGTAGAAACTTACGGCTAGCAACACAGATCTGTCTGGGTTCTTCCTGCTCCTATAAATCAGATTGTTGACGCTAAAGTATGTTTTCTCCAGGAAGCTGATATTTGCAGAGTCAGTAGCTTCAACAAGGCGATCGAGAAGATTTTCCAAGGCTTCCTTTTGGCTTTGAATATCTGCGAAAGAACACAAGTAGCAAATATAACTCCTGCAGACAATTATAGCTTCTTGACAAATTAAAGATACATTTGGCAAGCAAAGTATAGTAAATTAGCCAAGAAAATCCCAAGCATGTGAGTCGACTTGCCTGGACAATATCTAGCAGAAAACGTCCTGTAAAATTAATTCCTCTTCTTAATAGTATACTGTTTGCTTGCAGTGATTACTTCAAGCATTTATATATGAGATTCCAAGAAACATCAGAATGTGCCCCACAATTTCCATTTTTAAAAGAAACTTGAAGGGATTCCTACAAAGTTAATTAATTCCCAAAACAAAACACGATCCCTAGGTAGAACAGCAACAAATTTATTTTATATATATTAAAGAAGTTATTTTAATAGAAGTAGTTTATTTATATTTGTATTATAGCTGATAGGGAATTCGTGTATAAAGATTATTAAAATGAAATGAATATATATATAAAACAAGACAAGTATATGTTTCCAATCTAATCCGTCTTTAACATGTGGCTAAATTTCAATCTTCTATCGTTTTAGAGACAACCATGGGGCAATAAGTTTCAGAAACATCTTAACCTCAAAATTATACGAAATAGCGTAGGAAATAGAGGAGGGGGGAGGGGTTATTTATCATCAATAAAATAACCCAAAAGCACAAAACCAATATTATACTGTGCCATCAAAAGCAGGAAAAGGCACAAGGTCATCGGTTCCCTACTTTAAATGGCAGCGGGGGGAGGGAAGAAAAGTATCGAAAAATTTTCAAGTTAAAGCATCACTTTTAAACTTAAGTGCTGCTGTTCTGGAACATTACAGCTTTCTCCTGTTTCAAAAATGTCACTTTTTGCATGGCTACGGATGATAATGTTAAGCAAAATTGGATGAATCGAAATTTCAGATGAATCAGAGCTTGGCTGGAAAGAAAAACAGCCGGGAATCGATAGAGGCAAAAAATCACCTTGCTCCAAAATGCTATTCTGTTCCTCCATTTCACGATTATTGCCAAACTGAATTTTTGGATGGTTCTCTGCAATCGGCATGCTGTCACTTGGGTTTGGCGTAGATGACGTCATCGCATTCCCATAAACATTTGCAGGTAGTTCAGCCCCATTTTCGTTTTCATTTTCCAACGTTGAATGCTCCCCAATAACATGATTCTGCTCAACTCCTTTCGGCAACCCCTTTTTTTCTTCACTATTTGCATCTTCCACCCGCTTTAAAATCACAAACGATTCTTCTTCGGGGCATTTCTCTTCGCCAGGCGCACCTTGGTTCAATGAAAGGAAGATAGTTGAGTTTTACAATGACTAATTAAAAACATAATCCCCATTCTAAGTCTGGATTTAATGATGTCGAAAACCTAGTTTTCAACTTCCGAAGAAAGATGTCCAAGCTCATTCTGACACCAGTCAAAACTCAAAACACTGTTTTAAAGTGAAAACTTCATTAACGGACACCCCCCCGCCCCCAATTAACAGACATCTTAACATAACGGACTAGCTAAGCGAATCTCCAGGAAAGTGGGACACAAGACAAAAAAGATGAAAATATCCTATTCGAGGCGAGGGAGTGTAGAATTCAAGATAGAACGTGACACACAGTGTTCACTTGCTCAAGAACTTATGGCGGCTTTTGCAGGTTTCAGGGGTATTGCTTTTCTAAGCGAGACAGAATATTTCGTTGAAGTACACTTTTGCAGATCAGTGCAGAACACATTGAAAATACAATTTCACGGAAATACAATTTTGCAGATCAGTGCAGAACAGTGCGTGACGAAAAATTTGTTCCAGATAGTGGAAGTGACACTTATCAATGGTCAAGGGCCTAACCTTTCGATAATATAATGTATTTATAGCAATCAGACACCTACGGACACGACTTGCGTCTTTCTCCTCCTTCACAGTGCCATCTTCAGCTTCCATCGACTCATCAAGTTTTTCAACTCCATCAATTTTATCTGCATCAATACAGTTTTCCTCCAAACCTTCGATTTTGCTCTCATCGTCAGCTGGTTTCGCATCGGAAGAATCTAATTCATCTAAGACAGAATTTTCCAAAATCAGATTATAGTTGCAGACAAACACTATGCTTCATCCCTTCGAAAAACTTCCTGAAAACAAACATCTTTGCAAAACACAAAACCGGAAATAAAATAAATACATTTCTCAGGTAAAAAATAATATTTTCAGGAAAACTATTGACTTTGATGTTTTAACTTTTAAAATTGTATAGCATTATCGGGAACCAAACCGTGCCAGGTATAATTTAAAAATTTGGAAATGTATTAAAAAAACCCAACACAAAAACCCTGCTATTTCGGTCAATTATCCTTCGATATAGATTTCTTAGGTATTGACGTCATTAAAATATCTTCTTAGAATTATTGAAGTGGACCATATAGCCTGAAAAGCGCGGCATCTTAAACCTCTAAATTGCTGAAATATCAGCGTAGCTTTTCCGCAATCAAATCACTCTGACTGTACAAATTACAAGCCAAGTCAACATAAAAGAAAACCGTTAGCAAATTTCAAATCCTTTATTGAGCATATGTAGCCAAATTTTTAACAAATTCAACAATTTTGCATTTCAAAAAGTATTTTATGGTTGTCTTTAAAGGTTAGGTGGTGGAAAGTCAAAACGTATAGATTAGATTTTTATAATGTCACACTTGAGGACCATATTGTAGAGTCAAAATTGAAAAGCTAAAAAATCACCGTGACTTTTGCTGCTGTCCGACTTTCGGCCTCTGCGTCTTCTACCATCAGGCGAGCGTATAATTTTCTCAATAGGTGTAGAAAACGATGGAATGTCCACTGACTCCTCCCCCCTCAGCCTTCGACTCTGGCGGGTCGGTTTTTCAGGGGTAATGTTATCGTGTTTCTTCTTAGGATCCTTAGAGCCTTGAATTGCATCGGCTGAAGTTTTCTGTTCATCACCAGCCTCTGAACCAGTGAATTTGCCGGATGCTGCTGCGGAGGTGGCTCGAAGAGGCAGAGCGTTCTTCTGAAGCACGCGAATATACGAAGGAGCAAATATCTCCTCAGATTCATCTGGAAAATAAAATGAAAACGCAAATGATGAGTATATACCCGAAATACGATTAGCTAACTTTGATGTGCAGGAATTAATATGAAGAGGGAGGGGAATTACAATGAGGGTGCATGCAATACAAAGTCGTTTTATTGTGAAAAATAATCAAAAGAAAGAGAGTTGTTTCAACAAAAAGGAGCCTTTCAGGAATGCGTGTTGGTCACTCAACATGAAAATCATATTGAAAATGCCATAATGATTAAAACAAATAAAAAAGCTAAGTAGTATGGGAACTAACTTCGTTTTTGTCTGGATTCGTGAATATCTTCGCACATTTTTTCAAACTCTGGATCAAGGTCAGCGCAGATCATGGCATGGGCCGTGTCCCTCAGCTCACAAGCGCGGTTTCGCAGTAGTCGGTCGTAGGTATCCCGGTCCGGGTTGTACTCCAAACAATTGTTTGTAATCAGATCGACGTCTTTTAGGAATTGAGCACATGAAACATACTTGTGTGCGTTTATCTTGGTCATGATCGTTGAGAGATTCATGGGCTCCTTGATCACCTCGTAATAATCAGGGACCTGTTATGAAGAAGCATTAGAAGTTCAGTACAAGCTGAGGCAAGCAATGGGGGTGCTGTTCCTTTGGTGGTGCATTCTCACAGGGAAAAACGTAGTGCTAAAAAGGGAAGAGAGGCAGAGGCAGAGGGGAGAGGCAGAGGGGAGAGGCATAGGGGAGAGACAGAGGGGAGAGGCAGAGGGGAGAGGCAGAGGGGAGAGGCAGAAGGGAGAGGCAGAGGGGAGAGGCTGAGGGGAGTGGCAGAGTGGAGTGGTAGAGTGAAGAAGCAGAAGGGAGAGGCTGAGGGGAGAGGCTGAGAGGAGAGGCTGAGGGGAGAGGCTGAAGGGAGAGGCTGAGGGAAGTGACAGAGGGGAGAGGCAAAGGGGAGAGGCAGAGGGGAGAAGCAGAGGGGAGAGACCAGAGAAAAACAAAGGGGAGGGTGAGCGAGAGTGGCAAAAGAAAGCATGGTCTCAGTAAAAATACTGGCTATAACTGAGAACAAAACTTATTCTATGATGCTCAAGGTGACCAAGAAAGATATAGATATTTAATGCTTGTTCTTTGAAATTTATTAAAGGTATAGTTATTTATTAAACCCTGTTATTCTGTTAACTATATTCAAGAAAATGTAAAATATACGAACTATAAAAATTCTAGTAAAACTGGCAATCATGAAAAACAGAGGCTTAAGAAGGAGGGATACTTTGATAATATATGTTCACTCCCTCAGTTACAAGAGGGCAAAAGTTTTTTTTGAAGTTAAGCAGACAACAATTCGCCGTCAAACCATTGTGTTTAGCGTAAATACTGTTATATTAATTTCAACTCAAATAACAGTACTTTTCTGTGTTAATTGATAAACAGCTTCTTTATAATATTAGTTCCTGGTTTACAATTGACCAAAAATATTCAATTTCGATTACAAAAAAACTGGCACAGCTATAAAAAATTTCACTTCAACGTAGAACTCACAGCAACACTTTTGCAAAAATAAATATATAATAAATTCAGGCACTGGAATAAGAAACTATGTACCTCTTCTAAATCTACTGGTTTCATAAACTCCTTAAATTTCCTGTCAGCCATAAGTTTCCATGCAATCTGACGTAAAAACAATCGAAGCTCGCGAAGAGTATTCTCCTCCATTTCTCGCAGGTTTTTGAGTTCTTGATCTGACAGCTGTCGCTTTGGAGGAGGTGCAGCGACTGGCAAAATCTCCAACGGTCTACGAGGCTCTAAGGAAAACCAATTGGTGTTGTCATTTACAAAATGGATTCAAAATAGAAGAGGAGAAGGCAGGTAAACAAAAATGAATGAATAAAAGAATTTGCAAATTGAAAGGGACAATATAGAATTCAACAGCTGATAATTTTTATAAGAATCAAACAGTATATTAAAAATCTTGCAGTAGTGAGCACCCGTCCTTAGGCATTAAATGTTAGTAAATACGCAGCCCCTACAGGGGGGGGGATATCTCCTTACAGCATGTTTACTAAATTGTTTTTGATTCTATTAGCCATTTTTCAAAACTGCATACTGAAGGAACCTGTTTTTAGTAAGAGGTAACTTCACGTGATCAGTTTCATTTCCACCAATGGTATTTCAGCACAAAACCAAGATTAAGTCTTTTTGGACATCCCCTTTCCATTTATCAATAACTGAATGCCTTAAATAGGTTGGTTTTCAAGATAAAGCTTACTTGAAGGCCTCTGCTGTAAAGTTGGTTCCATTGCACTCTTGAGCAGCAAATCATTGAAAAATAAACGCCGCTTTTCGTCCGTAGGTTCAGCTACTTCGAAAATCTGCAAAAGAATTGGTTCAATTGATAACAAAAACTGAAAAGAAACCAGCAGTATCTTTAGATCAGCTAAGCCCCCTTCTCGAATTTTCCCAAAAAAGACTTTCTCATTACGGAACCTAGGTATTCCGTACCATGAAGTAAGCCTCAAAGCCAGGTTATATCAACTAATTTCTTATAGGTCTTACTGAAAAAGATATTCTCAGTGCGATGCAACTGAGGGCGAAAATCAAGTACAATGATATCAAACAGAAACTCATTGACAAAAATAAGGCAGATCAAATAGAATATAAGTCTTAAATTAAAAAGATAACACAAATAAGCATTAACTTGTGATTATTCAAATAAAATCTTCAAGAAATTTACAGACGGACACTTTCTAGTAGAGAGGCACGGGACAACTCGTGGGGAATTTTAGCATCTACAATTCTTGACAGACCGTGCTGAGATCGCTACCCCCTTCTCCAGTTCAATGTTGATATATCTGTTACTAGAATACCCATGCTCAGACTTTGAATGGAGGGGGGTGGGGTGGGGTAAGGATAGAGGTTTGTATGCTGCCTGGCACTTGATTAGGGGTTTGTTTCATAAGATTTGTCTAAGATTGTAGTAGACGAACTCCCCAATAGTTTTTATTCTAAAAGGCTTCTTGTTTGAGTTTATGCATAAACCTCCAAAAATTTTTGAAAATTCGAATAATAATCATCGAAGTTGAAAAACTAACAACATTTTTTAAAATAATATGAAAGGCAAATATAGCGATTTGTTAAAATATTGCTTTAAGAAAATCTTGAGCATTGTACCTCTTCATATAGTGGGGAGAACAGGTCTCTAACCCTGCTTGGTAGTTTTGCGAACGTGCAGTTACTTGTAGACAGCAAGATCACGGGCAATGATGCTGGGAAATCATCGAGGAGTGTGAGGAAAGTCGCTCTGCAAGTGTCGCTTATTGAACTCCACCAGGTTTCGATGTGGGGTAGATAGATGACGCATGGTGCAGTTCTTCTTGCTTCGGTAAAAATCTGAAAAGGGGCGTGAAAAGTTATGGAGACTCAAAGGAACGAGAAGTACTATGGACAGTCATGAGACAGATCAAACCTCAGACTAAACCTCAAAGCAACCAAGCGGCTCAAAATGCAAAGAGCGAATGTCACGGGCTGTTGTTCTTATTTGCTTATTGGCAATCAGTTGATATATTGTGGAACTGCGTGGTCTAGCTTCAAACTTAGGGGAAAAAATACAATCTTCTCTGAACCAGACTGAGCCACATAGTCAAAACCACATCGGCATAAATCTGTAGCATACCTCAGATCTCATACGTCAAGATCCCGGGGGCTCATTGCGCAAAAAAATATTTTTGTGTCGAGGCTTATTAAAAGGGGGCTTATTCGAAGGTGGGGGCTTATTTAGCAGCCGCCAAAAATTTATCATGGTAAAATTTCTTCCTCTATTTAAGCATAATCAGTATGCTTAAAAATGCAGATTTATTTCAATAAACCTACCGCTGTAGATTAAGGGGCTTAATCGAGGGTGGGAGCTTATTTCAGAAAAATTACTTTAGGCCGGGGTGGGGGGGGGAGCTTATTCGAGAAGGGGGGTTTTTCGAGGATTTACGGTATCGGTCTAAGATGTCTGATGCACTCCATCACGAAAAGCCGGATGAAAATAAAATAAAAAAGTGGTTCTTACTTGGGCACAAGCCTCTTCAGGGACTCTCGCAGACACGCCAAAAAGAGAAGGCAAATCGAGGACATAAACCTTCAGGTGCTCCATACTGTACAATATAGCTGGAGCAAGGTGCGTTGATTGGCCCATACCCTCATTAGCTGTGATAAGAAACCTTGCACGATGAGATAGTTTTCTCATCTGCGATCTTTCGATAATATCTACAAAATTCCTATTCTCAATCTGAGGGGAACTGGCTCTTTGTGTCGCTCGTGTTGATCGCCCGTATGATAATGGCTCGTAAATGCTTGGAAGGTCGCTTTCATCTTCATCTGATGTGTCTACGTCAAGGTTGAAAGGCATTCCCTGATTCTTGGACGAGGAACAAGTCGAGTTTGCATCTGGAAATAGAATGAAAAATACTAATACAATTATTACAAAGATGAAAACTATTCATACAAATTCTGGATGAAATACTGAGAAATACAGAACACCTTGAAAAATACCATCTGTTAACGAAAAAACAGTGTATAGACAACATGGATAAAAATATCTGGTAATGACAGTGGCATGATATTTAGCGAGAGACTTGGACTTGCAACTTAGAACCGTGCGTGTTTACACCAAAGCGTGTAGGTAATTCTTGTTGGTTTTTTTTCGGTTACCGTAAATTCTCTTTAAGCCCCTCTTTAATTAAGCCCCTCCCCTTTCAGAAGAAACAATTTAATTAGCCCCCCTCTCAATTTAGCCCCCCCCCCAATTTTCGCTGATGCAAAAATAAGTTTTCTTTTAACATGACAAAAACAGAAGTTTTCTTTTTTTTCATTGGTCGTTCAATACTTCGAATTCAATAAAAATTCACACCATGACTCTTCCAGTCACGACAGATCCAAAAACAAAGATTTAATGTGCATAAAGCACAGGCCATGTGAGAGCCTTTTACCAAATTTACAGGCCGTTGGTACTCCGGGGGATGAAGTCGACCTTTTCGAATGCTCGATTTCAGAGAGCGACAGGGCCCAAGAAGATATTTTAGAATTAATAATTACAACTATAAATGGCCTTTTATTCCAAAATATTTATCAAGCCCCTCTCTCGATTTAGCCCCCCTCTCTTAAAAGGCCCCTTTTAAAGTGCTGAAAAACAACAAGCCCGGGGGGGGGGCTAAAAAGAGAATTTACGGTAAATATGCAATAACTTCCAACTACCAATCAGGGATACTTGAAAAAACTGACAAATTACATTGTCGCAAAATATATTTGCTGTCCTCAAATTGAAAAAGTAGCCGCCAGACGATGGTAACCTTCCTTCCTTCGTCCTTGGGGCAACAAGTAATTGCTTGGTGCTGGAATATATACGTCCGTCGTCTTAAAGAACTAACAACAAATTAGTACAACTACCCTACTACAACTACCCAAAATTCTTTCTTTCTGATTTGTCTTGGAAAAACTGTGCTTCTAGACTTGTTGAAGAATGGTTTTTGCCACATTAAACTTTTTAAATTTATACTTGATGCAAACTTAAAAAGCAGAAAAACACAAAAATTTCCACAGGGGGACCTACCCCCTTCTAGCTGTTAAAAAACAAAGGTCTCAAACCTACCGTTGACCGGGTTAGCAGGAGGAAAAAAGGCTCGGATTTTGCGTAATACACTTTCCAGCGTCGATTCTAGCAATGGCTTCATTATCGTCCAAGTGACCTTGCTGGAGAGACAACTGATCGCTGCGAGGCCGGGACGACTTTTCCCATTGCATTCTGGAAATCTTTGAGCGTAATCCGGATGTTGTCAATGTCGAGAACTAGCTTTTTGTTTGTTCCATAAATTTGAGGGTATCTACGCCTCAATGCAACAAGGGCGGCTTCAGTGCAAAGAGCTTTGATATCTGCCCCGCAGTAACCAACACAAAGATCACCCAGTTCATTGACGAAATTTTTGGACAATTTGGGTTGCCATTCTCTGGTGTGAATCTCTAAAATTGTTCTGCGAGCCTGAGAAACAAGATGAGCATTAACGGAAAATTCTCAGAAGAAAATTAATATATTTTAATTGCAATCAACCGTCGCATCCCCGCAACATTTGTTTTAAAACACAAAGAGGTTTTTTGCTAATTTCAACTTTATGAGGTACAAAACTGTAATATTAATATAAGGCTACAAAATTTAGTTTCAATATCTAAGCTCCACAGACATGGCCTCGGTTGGGACAAATCATCAAACGCTGGCTGTGACGAAACAAACTCGGTTTCACGTCTAATCAATCTGACGTCACAAGAGACGGAAAACCCTATAAATTCGATGTTAGCTATATATTTATCAGAATGTTTGATGTTTCAATATCGAAACACTGTTTACGAATCTCGAAAACAATGGAAGATACGAATATATCGCGAAACAAGAGAAGAAGAATGCGAGAGAAGGATCGCATGATTATGCTGAACGAGGAGCTGGTTAATTTGAGACAACGAATGGCTGCATTGAAAGAAGGAAGCAATCGTTCGTCAACAGAGATGGCAGAATTGCGATGCACAAACAAGCAACTTCTCGACAGTCTTCATACCGAACGAGAAAGTCGCCAAGCACTAAGACAAGTATCCGCGGTGAGATTCTATAACTGAAAGATTTAATAGTTTGACAACAGAAGGTGCAAACCAAAGAATTTCTAGTAGTGGAAAGAAACGTATTGTGATGGAGTTAATAAAAACTGAAGGAAGAAAAAAGTTTTAAGATTGATGACAGAAAAAATTATTCTTTGATGTTTTTCACCATTTAGGTAAACCTGTAATAGAAGGTTTTGATATGTAATAGTAACAACATTCATAAAATAATATTTCAGGAACTGGATGCTCCTCTGGAGGAAGTAAATGCTACATCAGAGAGTTCTGCCTCAATCAAAGATCAGGAGTCACAAACCGATGTTGGAACTCAATCCAATCACCAGATTTTGAACGACAATACAAATCACAAAGAAGATTTGAAGGAAGAAAACAGCAGCCTCAAGGAAGTAATCAAGGAGTTACAGAAGCAACTCGCTGACGAGAGAAAGAACAATGAAGATAACAAAGTCCAAATCGAGTCTTTGAGAGTCAAAGCTAAAACATTTGAAGACCATTCTACCCTTTTGGCTTATGAGCTACACGAAATGACGGTGGATAGAAACTCCTTGCTGAATGCGCTGGAAGGCAAGCAGGAAAAGATCAAGACCATCCAAGCAAAGTGGAAGGCAAAAGTTAAAAAGATGGCTGATCAACATGAAGTAAAACTCTACGATGAGCAGGTCAAGAGTTATAGACTGCGTGTGCAAAACAAAAATCTTAAAGCTGAACTCGATCAAATAAAGAACGATATGGCAGAAGAAAAGCTACAATTGACAGTGACAAATTTTCTCAATGGCATTGTCAATGACGTAGAAAGCACAATAAATCACAATAAAGTCAAGCCACTCAGAGAACACATTCAGCAGCTGCAGTTTAAACTTGTTCAGGCAGAAAGCGAACAGGAGCTTCGAAGCCAGCAAGAAGAAAAGACAAAAGAGGAATACCACAAGGTATTTAACCAATTCCAAATGCTTCAGCGGCAGAACGAGCGGCTCGAAAACGACAATACAAGGCTTAACAACAAAGTTCTTGTGATGCGCCAGGAAAATACCGAGGCCCATCAGAAGTTCTTGGAGGAACAAACTGACCGAATCACTGCGAAGATGTCGTTCGTGGCACAAATAAAGCAGCTTGAAGAGAACTGTACCAGTTTAAAAGAGGCGAATACAGTTCTATCTGAAGACGGCCAACGTTTAAAAAGCGCTTTCGCAAGAAAGAAGAAAGAAAATGATGGACTAATAGGAGATATCCAGGACCTTAGGGAGAGAGTCGAAGAGAAAGAAAACATCATTGAAGAACTCCAAGCAAAGAAACGCAGAGGTTGCTTACGAAGGTTGGTTTGCTGGAAATAACCAGGACAGTAAAATATAATATCATCGAATTGACAATTTTTATTAATAAACAACAATTTATAAAACGCTGAGATTTTCAGGTTTAATTTGTTGTAAATATGTTTTTTAGTCTGAATTACAGTACTTTTTAAATAAAAATCTCTTTTCTTGGACATTTTCTGGGAAATTGATTGTTAACTCTGTGAAAACACAATACGCTTTGGTGCTTGAGCGATCGATTGCTTGAGATTTAGTTACAGGTGATTCTAGTCAGCTACAAAATTTGCATTTAGATTAGATGGCGACTAAGTGGAATTACGGCTAAAGTAGCGTCATTTTTAGTGACGATTTTGGATCGAAGGATTTCAAGCGGTATTTATCTTGAATTTTTGAATGACATCAGATACAGTGAAACATCTGTGTTTTGTAATTAGATTGAAGTGAATATATAAGTATTCATGTTTATATTTTACATATTCATTCTGATTGTATATTAATGGTACAAATAACTGTGATAGCTGCAACAGGTTTAAAAATTAATGGTAAAAGCGCTTGAAGCCAATACAGAAGAAATAAATCTCCAGGGTTGGCTTCAGATTCGCTCATTTCACTGAGTCGTTTTCTAAGCAGCAACCTGTAGGTCAATTCTGACAGAGAGTGGTTCGAAAAAATTGGATAGGATTCCTGCAGAAATGTTTTGTTCATGACAGCCTTTGCTTTCTTATATATCATTCTGTTCGTATTGTAAAAAGTTAGTATTTAATAGTTTTCTTTAAATTTAAAATGCTTGAAACAAGTATTAATATATCATAATTATCATTATATTACTATCATGGAACTATCCAAAGCTGACTTGATTAAAACCGGAATGCTTTCAAAAACCTTCAAACAAATATTTTTTTAATTAAGAATCTTAAAGGCACTATGTCCCGACAATCAACCGTTTTTAGTTAACAATAGACTTTACAGCGTGTTTAAAATAAAAAATAAATGAAAACGAGCCGATTGGCTCCGGAACAACAGGCCTATTGTATCGTCTAACCAATAGAAATTTAAATGGCCAGCGGAAGACGTCGGAATATAGTTGCCTTCAAATAGACAAGGAAAGAGGGAGAGGACAACTTCAATTTCATGATATATTGTTTAAGCATTGTGGCAACATAGGCCAAAATTGCTGCTTTGCAGCGGCCGTGGCAAATCTGACAGAAAGTTGATGAAAAATAAAAAGATAATTACAATGCAAAGTAAGAATACAAGCAGTAAAAGGCAGTTTTAATATTATGAATGGATCAACATCGAAAACAGCTTGGAATATATTCATAGCAGACGAGGTACAATCTAACGGGAAAATTCTACTTGATATTCATTTTTCGTACTGTTTCAGTTACTGCTAGATTGTACAGAAGTTGTTGAGGAGACGAGTTAGGGTAAGTCCGTAAGGTGTAGGTAGCCCCCCGTGAAAGGAGTAGGTGCACATGCGTACTTTGCATTTCACAACAGATAGGCAAAGGGGGGAACTTTGAAAAAATAAACAACGTAGATCCTGCATTGTTCTAGCAGGTTTGATGCGCGTGGGTACCTACTCCTCGTAGCTAATTGGTTCGGACAAACCACTCACGCTTTTGTTTTAAATGATGGAGCCGCGATCTCGTCTCCCCAACAAGAACCCAGATACAAAGACATTATCGAACCCTTTCGCATATGGCATCTACTAAAATGGCATGATGCTGCCTAATGACGAAAGTCGATACGAGTGTTGCTCTTAAATGTTCTACCGTAATCCGAGTGGAGATATCAGAAAAGCGTGTCTTACATTACTATCAAGACAAGCATGTGGTTCAAATCTCTGATTGGCGGACACGGCAGATGGAATTCTAAGTTTTGACCAATCAGATAACGGATAACATTAAACAAACGCCACGAAGGCCACTATCGAGATACAAGAAAAAGAGACAGGGCAACATCGTAGTTACCATAGAGGAGGTATCGTTCGGCTGTAGCAGACGGAGATCGTTTTGATAAAGTCATTTTTTAAATGCAAATCCAAAGTAATTCTAAAGGCTAGCAAAATATGGATGACCAAGCAGTAAAGATTAGCAAACGTGACATCATGCAGTGAGCATAGGGCTCAAATCTTGATTGGCTCAGCGGCGAGAGAGGTCACGTGATTTAGCGCAAGCTCTCAGCCAATCAAGATTTGAGCCCTATGCTCATGCAGTGTACACTTTTGCTCTATTTTGTCTTATTTGTTTTGCTTTGACTGTCTTTGTTTTGTAATTAATTTGAAACAAAAAAGTGTCTTGCATTGTGAGATTAAATAAGATGAAAAATATCAAAAGCCTACTTGCGAAATTAGAAATCATACGACTGAGGTCACATACAGAAAAATAAAAATTGTAAGGTTAAAAGTCGTATTTAAGAAAACAATATCTTGTCTACCCTAATAATCCAAAAAGGCCTTTTTTAAATATATTACTGAGGATTTTTAGCTGCAATTTAGATTTTTAGCTTAAGTGAAGATATCGGTAATGCAAAATAATCTATATTAAAGTTTGGTCAATGAGAAAAAGGACTTGAAGTTCCGAAATAGTGACATACAAAGCAACTTGAAAGAGCAATTCAAATGCAGGTGCAAATCGCCTAGGGTCAACTGACAAAAGCGTCTTGTGTGCAAGTTTTCTAATCCACACCTTTTAGAATCTCATCACTGAGTTGGAAATCCGCCCCTGCAATTGCTGACATACCACTCTAAATATAAATATAAACTGACATACCACTCTGTTCGGCAATGTAAACAGGAATTCTCTGTCGAATCTACCAGGTCTTCGAAGAGCCGGGTCTATGGAGTCGATTCTGTTGGTTGCTCCAATGACTACGACTTCACCGCGCGAATCAAGCCCGTCCATTAGAGCGAGCAGAGTCGAGACTATAGAACTATGGATTTGATCTTGCCGCGTTGAACGCACGGGTGCCAAGCCGTCGATCTCATCAAAAAAGATTATAGATGGCCGCATTGAGTATGCCTGGAATGGTAACAAAAATGGCAATGTTTTGAAAAATGCACTGAATCATACAATGACATTTTGAGGAACAAAATTTAGGTCACCTTGTCTGATTGCTTTAACATTGCGGTATAACCGTTTTGAAATGTACGGAATTATTTTATCGTCTGACGGGCTGACACTCCAAAAATAATAAAGATTGTATGAAAGAAAAAAGTGAGAATCTGTATTTTAAAATGAAAATAACTCAAGAGGAGAAACGATACGTTTGACAGCCTTTTTACGTTGATCGATTGGAGCACTAGCCCCTCATATGATCGAAATGCCCAGTGAAAAAAATTACTTTGTTAATAAAAAAGCTGAATTTTCTTGTTAAACAGAAAGGTACCAAAGCCAACCTATCAAAAATGTAAAAAAAGGTTCGTTTTCGCATAGCCTTAGCAGGGTCATGGCAATCTTTTTCGCTGTTGACTGAAATCCTTTTCTGAATCAAGTAAAGCTATAAGAGAGATGCTCATTAGAGGAAAGTGCCCGTGGAAAGGAGATTTCCGTTGAAAGGGAATGTCCGTTGAAGGGGAGCACCCTTTGAAACGAAATTCTCGTTTAAAGGAGATGCACGTTGAAAGAAAATTTCTGTTGAAGGGAGACGTCAGTTGAAAAGGGGAGTTCATCGAAGGGGAATTTCCATTGAAAGTTGAAGGGAGATATCCGCTGAAAAGAGGTGTTCATTGCTCTTTCAGGGTAGGTTACTTTTAGGGCAGATATCATGTAGAATACACTTAATAATAAAAAGAATCACAGAACCTCAAAATCTATAAGGTTCCCCCTACTCGGGCTTCATACCATTCACGACTGCAGACGCTATCATTCAAATCAAACAAGAAAATTGCAAGTTGCAATACCTGATCAAAAAGCAACCTCAGTTGCCTCTCTGATTCGCCAACCCATTTACTAAGGCAATCAGCGCCTTTTCGCATGAAAAATGCAACCTTGTGACCTTCACTGCTACATTCATTGGCTAATGCTCGAGCAACCAATGTTTTTCCAGTTCCTGGAAGATGGGATTAAAAGTTGGGGTGAAAGGAAAACCAACGGGGGATAGAATTTGAAGGGGAAACGAACGGGGGATAGAATTTGAAGGGGCAACGAAAGGCAAACTGGGTGGGCTGGGGTGGCTGTTTTAATGAAAAACGACTAATATCCAAGCGTGAAATGAAGTGCAAAGACTGTTCTACGTTTTAGTAAATAGGATGAGTATGACAATGACAATTACGCACATGAAACGCGAAATAAAACATTTTGAAATCATTTCTGAAAGCGGATAGTAGACAAGACGGGGAATGTAAGAATAGGCAGTTCCTGCAGGGTTTAATGATACAAGATGTTCGACCACAACCAAAAAAGATTTCTGAAGCTGAAGGTTAAACAAGCTCCCTTCAAACGTTCTTATACTAAACATGGCCTAGACATTGTAAACTATTTTTAACGAACATGTTTACTAAAGGCTCTTTACTGAAATTTTCGATCTCGATTAAAAGACGATAAAGATGAAATGCAACAACTTGCGAACACTATATGTAAATACTCATTACCTTACTACACAAATCGCCCACTTTAACCCTGTCAGACCTCCCTATATAAATATGCTGACACGTGATCACTATATTACACTCCTCAGCCAATCAACCAGCTTTTATGTTATGTTAAGGTAACAATATTACGCTTATTGCTTGCTCACAGATGTTGATGCAAGATCGGATGTGGTTAAAGAGAGGTACATTCTACCAGCGTTATGAATAAACCGGCCGTTCTAACACCGCAGAGACACAAAGAAAGGTGAAATAACAAAAAGAATGACATATTTCACAATATAAAACAAAATAATTTCGCAAAATACCTGGAGGTCCGTAGAAGAGAACGCCTCTTGGAGGTGCTATTTTGAATTTCTCAAAAACTTCAGGATAGAGAAGTGGAAAAACAATCATCTCTTTCAGAGACTGTATGTGTTTGTCAAGTCCACCGACGCTTTCAAAAGTCACCTAGCAAAGAAAGGATCAACATTAACTTTATCTACACTGGTATAGATGACAATACCACAACGGCAAATAGGCCTAAACAAATTGTCAAAGCCATCTCTTGACGAATTCTCTGTTATTGCAAGTGCCTACAAGCTGCCATCATGAACATGAAGTAAATGTAATTGGATAACAAAAGACGTCAACATACGCACACTGGAACAGCGAGATGCGATTTAGGCCAGTCAAGATAACTGGCAGAATTCATGTATTCTTCAAGTGCACGAGAGCATAGTTTCATTATGGATGGTTGTCTTTAGATTTTGATGATAACAATCCAAGCCCATAACCTCCCATAATAACAGACCATATTCTGAACACTGTGCTTTTACTGCCTTAGGTATCCAAAACATTATTAACAAAACTTTGAACACTGCTGTTGACTGAAATGCCAAACACATACTGGGTAGCATGTATGTATAATCTAACATCTATCCCTCTCTCTTCATTCAAAATTTGGGCGTTCGCCTTGTAGTAAAATGCATCGTAGTGAAATATTTTTTCAAATGCTTTAGTTTAAATAGTACTGCTCAAAGAATCTTAGTTGCGAGGATAGCTCAGTTGCTAGAGGCGCTGACTACAGACCCAAGGGTCCGTGGTTCGAGCCCCTGGCATGACCAAACTCAAGCGAGGAGAGTCGCCAGCTATCTGTAATTCCAAGCGTAGGAATCACGAGGTGTTGTCACATCGAGAGGAAGAACTAGGACACTGCTCGTTAAGCTTAAGCTTCTCAGTGCCCTGAAAACTACCTTTGGATGCTAGGTGAAAAGAAATGAAATACAATACAATTTTGAAAGGAAGCAATTGGAGACTAAAAATAATACCCCTTTATCTATGCTCATAGGATCGACATCAGCAAGACTAGATCCGATTGGTTGCCGTTCTTTGGCTCTTTCCCTATCCTTTAAAACACCGAAGATGTCTCCTGGGTTGAAATTCATTGGAAGGCAGCGTGCCCTCGCTTTCGCCATGCTCTTGGCCTTTCGTCTTTCAAAGCGATGCTCGTCGTCTGAATCGCCTGGGTAAAAGTAGGAAAATAATGCCAACAACTAACAGATAATAATTCTGAACTCTTTGTTAGTACAAATCATTCAAAGTTGTAGAATCTAGGCTATTCTTGGAACGCCTTTTAAAAAGCAGAAGCTAACAAGCAAGAATTGCACAATATAAAGAATAATTGACTGCATTTTTTAGAATAGATCTTATGCATGAAAAAATCCATCAAGGTGTGCAGGGCCTGAACCAAAATGAATGTAATCTTTTCTTAGAGCTTCATTTTTCTCTTCTCACCGTTTATGATAATTTTATTGCAAGAGTCGTTGAATCCTGTGTCTATCTAGCGTTCTTGCATTTTTTAACGGTGAAAGAACAGTCAAAGTGGAAATTTAAAATGTAAGGATATCACATATGTGTAAAATGTAGAATTTGCTTCCAAAGGATAACAAAAAGGGGATAGGATTTATAGGTGACAACTGCAGGTTGATTTCAATTCAGTCTTGTCGAAAATCAGAAAGCAAAATTTTACGGAAAATTGAGAAGGTATTCAATTATGCATCTCTTAAAGGTTCTATGTCAGGACACTTTTTGCTGGCGATTCAAATTTTCATATTGCTTCGACTTCACAATGGATCTATTTTTACGTATCCAATCGGCAATGTAGGGCTTATTCACGGTGTTTTCTCGATCCTAAATGCGCTGCGGAGCCTATTGTTAACTCTGAGCAGTTGACTGGTGGGACGTAATGCCTTTAAGCAATGGGAGCAAAATGACAAGAACGGGAACTGTTCAGTAAGCTGGCATGAATTGCATGAGAACCGAAGAACTGACCTGACGATGACGAGGTAGATGAGCCATAGTGTTTTCGCTTGTGGCTACCTCCGTGCTGTGGCATTTTGCGATGCCTTCGTTTATGCATAGGGCTATGTGGTACAGCATTGTAAAGTGCCTCGCTTCTTCTTGATTTTACTGAAATTGTAAAAATATCAACCAGTAAGTAATTATATTTTGTAACCTTATTCTTTCTAAGAACACATTTTGAACAAATACACCATAGAATGTTTACCTATATCGCAAATGTTAAGCACTGGTTAAAGAACATAAATCAGTCAACGATTAAAAGTCTCAATAACGCTTTCGTTGGCTATGCTTTACACCTTTGGCAGAACAGGAAATTTGAACTAGTTGTTCTTAGGTAGAGTAGAGTAGAGTAGAGTAGAGTAGAGTAGAAGTACGAGCAGAGTTAGAGTACGAGTAGCAAGTATAGTAGTGAGTAGAGAGAGTGGTGTAGAGCTAGAGTAAGGAGTAGAGAAGAGAGAGAGAGATAGACTAGAGTAGAGTAGAGTAGAGTAGAGTAGAGTAGAGTAGAGTAGAGTAGAGTAGAGTATAGAAGAGTAGAGAAGAGTAGAGTAGAGTAGAGTAGAGTAGAGTAGAGTAGAGTAGAGTAGAGTAGAGTATAGTAGAGTAGAGTACAGTAGTGTATAGTAGAGTACAGTAGAGTATAGAAGAGTAGAGAAGAGTAGAGTAGAGTAGAGAAGAGTGGTGTAGAGTAAAGTAGAATCGAGAAAAGCAAAGAAGAGTAGAGAAGAGTAGAGAACAGTAGGGAAGTGTAGGGAAGAGTAGAGTAGAATCAAGTAGGCTAGAGTGTATTACCTGATCAAAAGAGAGTATTACCTGCTATAGGTGGTGCACAGTATCTCCTGGTTGTTGGCCGTCGCTCTCTAAATGAGTATGGTCTTTCTTGACTGCCCTGATCTTCCTCCTGCTCTTCAGTCTCATCGTCGTCATCATCATCTTCTTCGTCATCTTCACTGTCATCTTCCTCATCACCTTCTTCTTCATCATTTTCGTCCTGCTCAGTGTCATTTCGCTTCCTTTGCTTTACAAAATCGTACATCGATCGGTCTGTGTCCTAAAAAATTCGTCAGAGGTGACTCAAATGGCAATCACTGGAGGAAAATTTTTGACTGGCTGAGGCACTACCATTTGAAAATATTTAATTGGTTATGTTGGGGAGAGGCTCCGAAACCTATAACTAAGCCCAAGAGCTGCAAAAGTATCGGAATCTGGGAACTAGATTCCCAGAAAGTTTTTGGCTTGGCAAAAATTTTCAGCAAACTTGATAACAAAATTCAGCAACACATGACTGATATGATATATCAAAGGGATTAATATTTTTCCAAAATATATAACATGAAGCCTATTACCTCTTTTCCATCCTCAGATTTGCTTCCCTTCCCTTTATTCCAAACCAACAGTTTCTCATTCAATGTTCCATACACCTCTCTTCTTTGCCTTGAGCTCCTTCTTGGCTCTGAAAGGCTTCCCACTGCATTGTCCAAATCATCATCCTTTCGTAAGGATTTCATTGAAGTGTCTGCAAATCAAATAGAATTATATACCATTTCCATGCATAAATTTCAATCCAAACTGAGGCCTAATATGACAGGCAAAAGTGGCATGCTAAGAATATAATTGATTTCGAATGTCAGAGGTGCTGGAAATAGAAAAAAACAAAAGTTATTAGCAATTTCAATGAGCAGACAAAAGAAAAAGACGAAGAAAATATAAACAGGTTATGTTTTTCAAAACGAGGCACTTGGACACACAGAAATGACAAGAAAGATCCAAGGAAAAACAGCCACAGGAAGACAGAGGCAGATGAGGCCACCATAAATGGCAGATGAATTTTCAATGAGAAAAGCCACAAATGATTGCAAAAAATGCAAGACTGTTGGGAGCTTGTGATAGCAAGACATTTTCTTTCTTTCAATATCAACTATGGCTCAACAAGTGATATTAGCCACATCTCAGGGATTCATTCTTGCATTTTCCTGGCATATTTTTAAATCTGAAAAAAGGCTAACAGTTTGAAAATCTATAAATCAAGATATATACATTTAAAGATGTTTACCTATATGTCAATTAACAGGCTTGGCCATAAGACTTTTACCAGGGGAGCAGCAAACCGCTCTCCTAGTAACTTCCAGGTTTGGCGATTTGCGTCAACACATCTATTTCAATTTTTAGAGTGAAAGCATTTTCATATTAAAATAATAAAATCTTACAGCATGATAAACTCAATGCTAAAGAACGGTCACTATATTAGTCACTTTGTTGACTGGGAAATTTTCAGGGAACTTGTTTGGATTTAGAAAGGCAAATATTTTTAACTTGAAATGTGAAAACCCAGTGTTATGTCGCAAGCTTACAACAAATTTTTTCATCTATATATTCGTCGAGCCTGGAAGGTCAAGTTACACCACTGTATGCAGTTTTATTTAATGGTAATATTGATAAACATTATCTGCTTTTGAGAAACATTAGTTGGTTTGACAGTACTTAGTGGAAATCAGTAGAAAGGCAGATTCACAGTTTATTAATATCTGACCATAAGTTGCTTCCTATTTTACTTGCAGGCAAATTTTTTACTCTGCTTTCTGCTCACAGGCAAAAAATACCATTTATGAGCCTTGATCAGCATACAGGGTACATATTTACACAAGTGCATGCACCACACTCTGTCTATGCTGTCTAACATTTGAGTTGCTTGTTTGCATTTAAGTTGCAACAGCTGTTTAATGTGTGGGTTGTTACATTTCTAACAGCTAATGTTGATGTTGTTAAGGCTGATGTTATCAAACTTCTTATTTCTGGCTCCTCTAACAAAACACTCTGTGTGTATCTATATCACACAAACATATTTAAAGGTATCTCAAAACTTTCCTAATCAAACGTCTGATTGTCATCCATAAAAGATTGAACATAAATATCTTATTTGTAGAACCAAAATCAAATATGTTGGAAACAAAATTTGCTTACTGTGTGATCTTAACATGCCTTTAAAAACTATATATATAAACAATTTTTTTTAAATCCTAAATATCTTTCTTTGCTTTTTCATTGGGCATTCCATGATTTGTATTTTAAAGGTGGAGCAAAAAGATCCCCTTATTGCATCAACCAAAGATGCCTTGATAATTTCTTTATTTGTCATATTTAAAAAACTCCCAAAAATCATTCACCATTGACAAGTTGTCAAGAATCGAAATGACAAAAAAAGGAATTACCAAGAAATGTTCCTAAACTTTGCTAATAGTCCCTAAAGTGCATGCTACAATTTAAATCAATCAAGCATACATATATTTTGTAGATCATTGCTTCTCAATCTTCTTTACCACAAAAACCTATTATCTATTATTTCAAGCTTTTATGAAAAAGACAGTGTGAGATCAATAAATGTCACAAGATAACAAGAACTGAATACGTTGCAAAATGTGGGAACTAAACTGAAAAATTGAAAGTTGCTGTCACCAAAGACACATGAAAAATGTTGGTGGCTTAAAACATGTAAGAATGCCAAAAAACGAATGAAAGAGAAATTAAATACTCCTAATGCCTTAAAACACTTTAATCGTCCATTTGGGTTTATTGTGTTGACATCAGTGCTTTGTATTAATCATTAATAATTAGTCAATTTTTATCTTTGATTTGCCTTCACTTCTATTGTTGTTTTGCACCCTCTTTTTATTGTTGTTTTGCATCCCCTTTTTATTGTTGTTTTGCCCCCATTTTTATCATTGTTTTGTTGAGTCCATCAACTATTGCTCTCAAGCACATTAAACATCAAACTGATTATACTATGATTATAATCAACAAGTAGAAATACTTGATGAGAGACATAGAAGCAAGTAACTGACCTTGCATACCAGAGACACTTTCATCAACTGAAACAGCTCCACTGTAATGACTAGAAATCAAGAAAAAAAGAAGAATTCTGGTTAAAGATTGAAAAAATAACAGCATTTTTGAAAACCACTATCACAGCAGCGTTTTTAAATTCTGAAGAAGCAATCAATTTACATCATTTTCCACAAGCAATGCAATGCTATTTAAACAAAACAAAGTACTGTATTGTCTGGTGTATATGTCAAGCTTTTGGACCTGAAATTTTGGGTCAAAAATTAGAAATCAACCTATACACAGGGTATCATTTAAAAACAATTTTAAAAATCAGCATTCCCAAATTTTCCATTCTGTTATGGTAATGTAATTGCTTCGAAATGAATCGAAGAGCAGCTCACAGATTCTGACAACAAGCTTTCATCAGATGTAGAGGATGACGAAAACACTTTTGATATGTTTACGTAGTTTCATTTAGTTTTTGAACCTAGCTTCTTCAACCAAAAATAGAATCGAAATACACCGAGTACACCATTTTCATCAATATTAAGCTTAAAATTTGTACCTCGACTTAGACACCAGGTCGACTTGTACATCAGACAATATGGTACAATCTAAATCAGCACTGTATAATCATGAACCCACAAAAGCAAAGAGCCTAACAACATTATAATAATTTGTCCCCATTAAAGACTATATTGCAACACACCAATATCATTGCTTAACACGACAAACCTGTAAGATCTTGGATAAATAATTGACCTTCAAAAATCTTAGCAAAATCAAACTAAAAAACCAGACATTGGAATATGACACTTCCAAATTGACAAAATTAAATGTGCAATTGATATGACAATAGATTAATCTGTCTGTGTAATATGTTTATGTTGCTAATTGAATTCAAATTAATACAAACACACCTTGTCTTGGCTTTTGAGGAGTTTCTTGTAAAATGATCTTTTCTAGGAATTGCATCCCTTGAATTATACATAAATTCATTGATACTGCTATTGAATTTTCTCTTTTTGGAAGGCTGGCTATGAGGCTTCGAGCTTTTGCCATTCACAATTACCTAAAACATATAAAAATGAAATCATTGTTTTACATTCTATTTACGTGCTTGAACTGTTTTACTATAATGGTCTAAAATTAGAATTCAATTTTCAATAAAACATAAAAAAAGTCAATGAAAGAGCTAAATAAAATAATGATATACAAAAGCTTAACAATTTGATGAAAATTTTAAGAAATTCTCATAGTTAGATTAATCTGTCTGTGTAATATGTTTATGTTGCTAATTGAATTCAAATTAATACAAACACACCTTGTCTTGGCTTTTGAGGAGTTTCTTGTAAAATGATCTTTTCTAGGAATTGCATCCCTTGAATTATACATAAATTCATTGATACTGCTATTGAATTTTCTCTTTTTGGAAGGCTGGCTATGAGGCTTCGAGCTTTTGCCATTCACAATTACCTAAAACATATAAAAATGAAATCATTGTTTTACATTCTATTTACGTGCTTGAACTGTTTTACTATAATGGTCTAAAATTAGAATTCAATTTTCAATAAAACATAAAAAAAGTCAATGAAAGAGCTAAATAAAATAATGATATACAAAAGCTTAACAATTTGATGAAAATTTTAAGAAATTCTCATAGTTATATATAATTGAAAAAAAGAAAGTGCAGATTTAACTTGTCGTTTCCCTGACATGTTTGTTACAATTAACAAAATCATCATCATATTAAATCATATATATGATAAAAGAGGATTTATAAAACAAATACCAACAAAAAGGAAAGTTTATAGATCAAATAATAAAATAAATATAATAAAAACATAGCAATCTTGGACTACATTCTCCCTGTAAAATAATTGAGAAAGTCACTCAATGTTCCAAGTCTTGCTTGTGAGCTGGAGCAAGTATACTTAAATTTTTTTAAAAAAATTGAAAATGTATGTAATATCTGAATTATTTTCACTAAAACTAATTTATAAAACTTATACTAACACTAATACTAATAGAGTTTTCAGTTGATGATGTCTCAAAAATATATTTTTAGAATTTTTGAATTGGATTCCATAACCTGGGCAGTGAAGAAGGTATAGGAGAGAAGGTGAATGATGGAGAGATGAGGATGTTATGATGTATGTATGGTGTCACAAGAAGAGTCAAAGTCAAAAATGAGCTCAAAGATGCAAGAAAGGAAAATGAATTTGTGTGGTCATGTGATGAGAAGAGAGGAGGACTATGTTGGAAGAAAGTGATGGAAATGGAAATTCCAGGAAACAGAGGAAAATGGTGACCTAAATTTAGATGGCAAGGGAGTCTAAATGGAGACATGCGGGAAGAGAACCTCAATCAACACCAAATAGGAGATAGAGAATAATGGAAAAGACTCTTGAGGAACAATGGCCCCATATAAGATGGGAAAAGCTGCATAAGAAGAAGAAGAAGAAAAAGATAAAGCAGAATAAGAAGAAGAAGAACCTGAAAGAACATCATGAAATACCTAAATGTGCAAAATCAGTCTAATGTGTTTTGAATTGGCTCAGATATTGCCACATGAGCTCAGGTTCTTTCCCCATCAAACCTCTGTAATTTGCTCTCTGTTCATAACTTTATGAACCAAGCCAGAATAACAGAAATCCGTTAACAAACTCGAAATCTTTCATTGGCCATATCTCGCCCAATTTGGAACATATCTAGCTAATTTTGCGCATTTGGTGGTATTTTATGTCGTTCTTTCAGATTATGCGACCAAATTTAAGAAATTCTAAAAATAGATTTTTGATGACGTCACACTTCGGTTCTCTATTATCGGGTCTATTTGGCTTCAGTGTGGTTATTGACTGATTTCATCTCGGCCTATTTTAAGAATGAGCCTAATGCTGCAGCACCAAGGGGACCTTCCTTTACGCGGACTTGATGAGTTTTCTTTTAATTTCAGAGATTCTGAAATAAAATATCTTTCGTAGAGATAATATAACTGCATTAAGTAACTAACTATACAAGTGCATTAAAAATTGCTGACACCGTGAATATTTTAATTATGAAATTACAATTAAATAAGGTCGCTTTCTCAATACTCATCTAGTGCTATCGAAATTTTTATTTTGTTTCGAATTGTGTTTCAAATCTGAGTAGATTGGAATATCAAAACTCGAGAAAATTTCAAATTATTTTGAATTTGGCTCTATAATTCAAAATTCACAACAGAGGCCTGTCTGTGCAACATTTGCAGAAGCGTTTAAGAATCATTTGTATTGGATATTTGTTAGTTGATAATAAGCTCGGGAGGAATAAAAGCTACCTTTAGCTTTGAACAGAACAAAAATAACAGTGATTCATTAGCAAACTTTGAATCCTTCATTGGCCATATCTCACCAAATTTTAGACATATTTGACTGATCTTGCATAATTAGTAGTATTTCATGGTGTTCTTATATGCTATATGGTTAAAATTCAAAAATTCTAAGGAAATAGTTCCTTTGTGACATCACATGTAAGAGCTCTATACTAATAACGGTGGCCAAAAAATTTCCATTGGTCTGTGCAACTATCTGGCCTTTTGACTAAGGGGCAGGATTTGTTTGCTCATCTCAAGGACAATTTGAGTAAAGGCACATCTCATCATGATTACCTCAAGGATGATTGTTTACAATTTAGCAAATGGAAACACAAGATAGACCAGAACTTAGTCTACTTATCAAATTCATATTAAGAATAAAACTTCAGTAATATGTCTTCAAGTAAGTAGGTGCTGGAAGCTTCTTCAGAGGGTAAGCACAATTTGTGAACTGAGAAAAATTATTTCTAAAAGCAGCAGTCTTATTGTATTGGGTGGCAATGATGCAACCTTCATCTCAATTATATGCCAGAAAAAGACAGAATAATGGGATATCCTAAGCCTATCCTGATATTTATGGCTCTGGAATAACCATTATGGATATTTGTCTGTATGTTCACATATGAATTCTTGAGTCTGTTAAAAAGTTTTGAACACCTAGACTGCAGAGTAAAGCACTTTCACAACAAGATATTGGGTGTGCAAGATCAAAATATCAAGTGTGCAAGTGTGCACTTTGGTAGAAGTGTGTAGTTCAGTTGTGTATATTAGCATGCAAAACTATGCTGGAGCCAAAGGATAATCAACTAAGAAGCAAACATGAACTAAGGTAAGTATAAAGGATATTTATTCTGTTATCAAACCAGTGCAAGATTATGTTTTTTTTGGGGAAACTCAATTCTTCACTTGCACTAAGCAATATGACACACCCATGCCCAGATCTTGAAATGCCAACAGATTGTCAGATGTGCAGAAACATCTTAGAAAAATATCTTGGGGTTGGACTTGTCATATTCTGCAGTCTAGCTGTACAGCATGTGAACAAGCATGCATAACTGGTCCTTTCTCCATTATTTCTTAGCTGGAAAACCACAAAATCTTGGATGTAAAGGTGTGCATTTATCATTTGTTACATAGTACTTGTTCAACTTTCAACTACAATTTATGAATAATATTTTCAAAGAGAAGTGTGGCAGTCAAATGTTGTTATTGATATCATTTCTGACGTTTTTCTGGTACAAAAAATAAAGCTGATTTTTTAACTATTACTGAGAAAATTCCATGGCACAGGGTGAGTAAAAGCAAGCAATGTCTCTTTGAAAAGTGGTAGATGCGAACTGGTATTTTAATCAAATCTATTAGGCCAACGTTGCTTTGATGGAACAGGGAAGTCTGCATTTCAAACAAAAAAAGATAAGTTTCAGAAGTTCATCGATGCTTACCTTTAGCCAGTATCTTTAAGAAAATCTGTCGACTGGAGAAAGATTCTAAACCTCTTAAAGAATAGCAAAAGTGTTGCAAAGTATATCCTAAACAGTTTGCGGATGTGGCCTACATACATGGCGGCACATTTGAACAAGGACAAATCAACTCACATTATAATCAACATCTTTTCGAGAAACTCGACTTGCTCTTCGTCCATCTTCCCGTTCCTTTCCTCTGAAACTAAACGATTCCTTAAACGAATGTCTGGTGTGCACCATTTTAAGTCCTTTTAACTGTACTTGACTTTGCTCATCTTCTTATCATTAAACCGCCATGTTTTCTTTTGAAAGAGATGTGCGCGCATATTTTCCCGCCATGATGTAGACCCAAGCCTCTCGGAAAGAAGAGTTCCAGAAAATGACGTCATATAAACAATACCTTTTGTATTTACGAAACAATAAAATACCTTTTGTAGTTGCAAAAAATCAGTAAAGGATATTGGGACTCAATACAGGTATAGCAAGTGAAATAACAGTGATTTGCTAATAGGTAACTGTTAAAGTCGAGAATAAAGAGGGCCAACTTGGGAATTCGAAGATCACGGGTTGCCCTTTATTTGAAAACCTTCATCAACGAAAAAGTTTGGCTTAATGTTTAAAGTGCAAAAGGTCCTTCTCATCGCTATCCACACTACTTTAACCCCATTAGTTTTTTTACTTAAAATGTGAACATTAACTTCATTTAAATAAGAGATTGAATAACCTTCTTCCTGCTTTGAAAATGGTAAAACATTGTGTACCTTTATGAGCAACGATCCCATTTATCAAAACCTTAATTTTTTTAATCCTCCTAACTTGCTCCTAACACATTTTACTTCATCAACGAAAAAGTTTGGCTTAATGTTTAAAGTGCAAAAGGTCCTTCTCATCGCTATCCACACTACTTTAACCCCATTAGTTTTTTTTTTACTTAAAATGTGAACATAAACTTCATTTAAATAAGAGATTGAATAACCTTCTTCCTGCTTTGAAAATGGTAAAACATGGTGTACCTTTATGAGCAACGATCCCATTTATCAAAACCTTAATTTTTTTAATCCTCCTAACTTGCTCCTAACACATTTGTGTCCTTTCGGAATCGGGGGCTGTTCACAGGATACTTGCCTAAAAACCGGGGAATGCCTAAAGCATAGGTTTTTAAGGATGGCTATATCTGGTTATATCTGGTTTATCATCCTCTTCTTTGCATTAGCTGAACGTCTTCTACTTGATTACGTGACCAGAAAATTTGATTCCAGCAGTAGCCGCGCCATGGGGGGACACGCCCCCTCCCCAGTTTT